TCATCTCCAAGTTGTCAATTGTCCCTTTCCCTGCCCCTTTCCCTGGAACCTTCCCTGTCATTCCTCCTAGTTCCCTCCCCTGTTTCCAGAGCATTCCCTGTCTATTTAGTGAGGCTCAACACCCTATTGGTTACTTTGTGTTATTCCACTCCCCTACTTCCCCTGATAGGTTTGTGATATGTTAGTCCTGCCCTAAACTCCTCCCCTGCTATTCCCGTATTGGTTGCTGTTCCTATACCCCTCCTCCTGAGTTCTTATATAAAACCTTTGTTCCTCCTCCCAAGGGGGACTTGGGGCTCACTGAATAAAACCATCCTGTTCACCCCCAAGTCCCGTGTCGCCTCCATCTGTCCCTGCACCACCAACTGGGACTGCAGAGCTTCACAGGGGGAGTGGCCGCCCATTCTCTTCCCTCGCCGCCCAGCACGGCACGGCTTGGGGTATCGCGGCAAGAGGAGCTGACCGCAATACAACAAGAGATAACCACCATAAATAAGGCAGATGAAGTTTTCCACAGATTAAATCCTCAATTGCAAACAGGTGAGGATGAGAAGGAGCAGAGGGTGTCTTTGACTGACAAACAGATGTACCTTCAAAGGTAATACTTCTTTGTTGATGGAAAAAAATACTGCCATAGCTTTCGTCCATGAGCAAAGGCCAGCAACATTTCCACATACTCTCTTAGCTGTCTCAATGTTGTAGTCCACCATTTCAAAATAAGGGCTCAAAAGTTCTACCACTTCTTCATTAATTGTGTCTTTCTGAAATTGCTGAAAAAAATTTTTGAAAGCTCAAGATACAAAACATGTGTAACAAGTGTAAATTATATATACATGCATTTCAGAATACATAGAACACTAGAAAGATCACAAGTATTTCCTACAAATAACTAATATGAAATTATTTGTCACAAGTATCTTTGAGACCTTTATTAAAGTCATTCCACTTACGAAATGAAAAAAAGTTTACTTTCATTTATGACCTTTGCTATCTCAACTCACTATTCCTGTTACACAGCTAATAATTGTTTCAAAATATCACTGGTCCTGCTAGAAATTTCATTTTGCTTAATACAGAATAAGTTTTAACAATCTTCAAAAAGAAAATGAAGCGCTAAACTCTAGTTCAAAAACATACATTCTGCAAGACAATCCTTTCAAAGGTCAAAAGCCATCTATCTTACCCTTAAATTACTTCGTCTAATTACTGGAATGTGTTTAATTTTTAAAGAATTTATTTTTACTCTTTTCTTGAAAAAGCGTATTTTTCCTTTTTCCTCCTGAAAAGCTCTCAATTTTCTCTTTCAAATTTATTTACAATGTATAATGAAAACCAATCCCAAACTTGAAAAAGAGCTGTTCCCTGAAGCACAAATAGGTTTAATTAAGCATGAGTGAAATTAATTGTTGAAGTCCCTTAGAAAATTAAAAATCTTTACAAGTAGATGCAATGTGAATACTACATAGATAACATTCATGCGCCTACCAACCGTACAAAGCTGCTCAAGCCTCCTACTAGACCAGTGACAAATTAAGTAAACTCAAAATGCAGAAATCAGGGATGATAACACTCACTGGAGCAGGGAAATATACCATTTATTCCAAATAGCTAAATCACAATATTATTCATTTTAGTTATGAAAAGGGATTTGTTTACCAGTTAGTTAGTCTTTCCATTTCCATAGACAAATCCTGTGAACCAAAAAAATCCCAAATTTTAAAAGTTGGGATTGTGGTTGTGTTCATCCTAATAACCATCTATGCTTTTCCAAACCAGTGCACAAAATGAAATGTTGAAAATTAATGAAAAGTTAAATACCAGAAAAAAATATGTTTTTTATCAGCTTTAATGAAGCAGATAAGTAATGCCTATTGTTATGGTTTGATACTGGCACAATGTTAGTGCCTTTGTGAAAATGTAATCTCTTAAATGAATGCTGTGAAATGTAATTGAGAGTAGAGCAAAGCAGGTCTAAGCTGAACAATAGGGAAAAAAAAAACTTTATTAAGCTACTATTATAGAAGAAAGAAAGGAAGGAAAAAGAAACACACAAAGATTAAAATGAAAACCTTGTAAAGCATTCTTTTTCTCACTGCTCCACTCTAATAAACTACAGTGAGACATAATCTGGACTTTAATCAGGTTTCTACTCTCTAGCTAATTGATATTTAGTTTATTGAGGGAGACAGTAGTCTCTCCTGTGCCACAGACCCCCTAAGAAACCCAGCTGCTACATCTTGTGCCTCTATGTCACACATGGCACTGCCCAGAGAAAATTTTGCTATGGTGAATTTTTTCTTTGCTATGTAGAGTGCTCTCACTACTAATGCATGGATGGACAGACTGCTTTTAGGATTTTTCTTTTTAAGGATGTCCTGTTAAGAGGGGAGAAAACAACAGTTCAGTTTTTCATTTTTTGGGACCACAGCCCTCCCCTATTTTTCCCTGGGGCCAGGGGTTTAAGAACAGAGATCTTTTTTTCTTTTCTTTCTTTGAGGACAGAGGGCACCACTACAAACCCTTTAATTTTTTCTCTGTTCACTCTACTTCTGTCTTTTCCTAGCTGAAGCAGGTTTCTTGGTTCACGGGCATCTTCTTAAAATACAGTCTCTCTTGGAGGAGAAAAAAATTGGTTCAGTTTGTGGCCAACACGGAAAAGTTCAGCCAAAAGCCACTCCTTGTCTCCCTCTTATTTAGAATTTCTCCTTCTAACATCCCAGGGTCTAAGGTGTCTTTCTTCTTCTCTTTTAAACTGAGGAGGGGAAAAAAATTCACAAAGCTTTTATTTTTTAAGGAAGGGTTAAAAGTCCGGACTCCCAGGATGGCTCGATGCCCAGACTCCAGCAGCTCCCACGGTGGCTGGGCACTTTGTGACCCCCCCCCCAGCTCTTCTCCTTCCCTGTGGTGAACTGCTGACAAAACTGCTCGTGTCACTTTCTCTCTCCGTGTCGGGAGAGAAACCCTGGCGGGGGGAACAGAGACATCCTAGATTTTCTCTACCCTTCTATTTGCAGGAGGCCAGCCCGGTTCCAGTCCCTCCACCCTTGGGCCTACTTTAGTCAGGCCATGGGCCTTCCCGTCCCCCACCCAGCCATGGGCCGGGCAGGGGAGAGGCTGCACTGCACGCTGACCAGAACCAAAGAGAGCGAGTTCTCCTGGGAATTCTGCTTTTAACCCCTCTGTGCTCTCAGAGGTGTGTCTACTTTGAATTGGTCAATATTCAAATTGACCTCTTCCTTCCAGAAAATTTTTTTTTCCGTGTCAAACCACAACACCTATCAAAACCAAATGCTTCATGCTTTGAGTCATTTGTCACCTAAAACAAATATATTGCCATACTTAGCAAAAATTATAGTTGATTTATAACATGACTTTTCAAGAAGGATTAAAGTTTATTTCATCCTGACATATTTATTCTTAAGTCCTTATCATTTCAGATCTATTGTGTGATTTCCCTTGCACATTTGTTCTCCTACGAACACCAGGGAAAACATTGTCCCTTAAAAAAAAAATAAGGAAAAGTTTGCACAAGCACCTGTAGACTCTGTAAGAAGTTCCCTGTTGTCATCAGCTTCAGCGATTCTTGCCACGATGGGACAGTACAGCGTTTTTCCTGATCAATTTTCACTGGGTTGACTTTACGCTGGAAGAGCAGCAGCACGCAGTCCATAATACGCATGATGAGGTGAGGAGGTCGACCCAGTGTGCGCACTGTGGCAATATCTGCAGGTTTTATTGTCTAGGAATTGAAAACAAAGGGCAAAGCAGTTACTGTTTAGTTAATCAAACATGGGGCGTAAGTTCACCAACTTAATGGTGAACTTAAGCAATGGAAGAAAAATATATATATATGTTATTTTTACCACTAAAAAGCATGAAGCTAGAAGGAGCTCCCCCAATCAGATTTTCACTACTTACTTCTATCAGCTCCTAGGAAACCTCAGCACAGCATCTCCACACCTTAAAGCTCAAAATTACCATGAACTGTTTTGACAATAAAAAAGAGCAAATCAGAAATATCTTGAAATTTTACTTGTTTTTTAAATGTGAACATATTGACCAGAAACTGTATCTAGAAAGAAAATACTTTTTGTTGACATCCAGCAAATGAAGGTAAATTAAGGAAACCAGTGAGAAGGCCTGGTATATGTATATGTTTGTATCTCCTAGCACATCTTACCAGGAATATTCCTGGCATAGAAGGAGGCCATAGAAAAATATACTATAATAAGGTATTAAAACCTAGGCCCTAACAAGTAAGGCTAAATAAGCCTAGGGTGCAAATATAACACTGTAACTCATAACTCTACATCATGAATCAGAAAAACGCAGAAAAGTCTGCTGAAGATGTCTCCTTGGAGAAGACTCGATTTGAGCAGCAGTGTTTACTGCACCACATACAAAGCAATAAAACCACTGAACAATGGGAACAGCTGATGGGCAGACCCGCTCCTGCAACACACACAACTCTGAGCAGTTGTTTTGCTTATTTACAGGCAGTTTAATAAGTCCAAGTACATGACAGCTCAAACAGTAAGCAACAGATTACTGTCAGTGTCATGACATCTTGCTTCTAGCCTAGCACATGCCTCACTGGGAATTCACGGAGGCAGATTTTAATTACTTGTGTCTATACTTCAATGAAGGGAATTCAAAGCACTGCAGACCATCCAAATCGCCTTCCCTCTGCCAGCCCTTTGTTTCCCCTCAATATTTTGCTGCTTGTTGGGTTCACTGTGCACGAAATAATTCATCAGAGATTTTCCAGATATCTGTGTGAAAACTTTACCCAGTGGTTCTTTGTGACTGTTAGGAAATTCAGCTCAGACCTTTTTTTTTTTTTTGCTAAAATACAAATTGTGGCAAAATTATTACATTTAAATTTTATTAATTTATTTATTTGTCTATAGTTCTGCATTTAATGTGCTATATTTATTACAGGGCAAAGCGCTACAAAGTTTTACTGAACTCTGACAATTCTTACTCAAACTTTAAAAAACTAATCTCACTATATGTTTCGAAATGCTTATAAGATGCTGTGTACCTACCTTTCTCTTAATGTAGCATTTATCATTCTTAAAATATGCTAAAAAATTGAGTAAAATAGCTAATCACTTTTTTTTTTCATCTGGGTAATGACCTTTCTATTTATCAAATATTTTAATAGGCATTTACCTACTCTGCAACCAGAATTCTACTATAGGAATCCCTAGCTCAAATTTGCAAATCTATAATGATTATGAGATTAATTTTTGAAAAATGCAGACCCATACAGAGAAGATTCTTGCTTAAGGGAGTGAATGAATGAATGAATGAATGAAATGAATGAATGAATGAATGAATGAATGAATGAATGAATGAATGAATGCTGAGAATATATAGACACATTCCGCTAGACCACTTTTTATGACAGTTTGCCTTTCCCCTTTAGACATAAGCTAAGCAATCTATTATAGAAAATTCAAAAATTTTAAGATTAAGCCAAAATACTTTTTCCCATTGAGAAGTTTTACAATAATGCCAGCTTCCCTTTTTCTTGAAATCAGATTTTCAGTTATTAGTACCCTGCATTTCTAAAAGAGCAGTATTGTTTTGGTACAGCCATTTTAGTCAAAAGCAGAAAGTAAACTTTAATAAGATTCAGGTCCAGACCCAGCATACTGGTACCCTTTTTATACTGCAGATGCTGACTAATTAACATTGCTTATTTTTCACTTGTCAGAATACTTGCCCACTACCAGGTTTGCTATTTTGTTGTTGCTAGCTCTTTAACCTTTTTCCTGTGGCTATATATCAAGATCCTATAATACAAACCTTCTCCAGCTGTCAGGTCATCCACCTTCATTTAGACTTAGGCACTCTATCCTTTAAGCATCATGGCAGTCAGAGGCTATTAAACATCTGTCACTCAAAATTAAATCTTACATTCAGAAGAGCCATAAAAATTCTTCTACACTAGATTTTAAAGCTGATCATGCCATTCTTTAACCATCACAACCAGCCTCTCAAATGGATAGGTATAATTTCCAGCAAATCTACATAAAACCCTTTGAGGTTTGTCTATCTTTCAGGTTTTTACTTCATACTTTTCTGTTTCTTGAGATGTGAGCTCCTTGCTAGCATCTAACAGGTGTATTTCAGATTCCACTAGTACTGCTCACAGTAAAATGTCTTGAGGCACATCCTCCTATAAAGTCAGCTGAGCAGACAAAGATAAATATTATGCAAGATCAACAAATATTATTTTTTTATCTTAAATATATGGACATTCTATTAAAAAAGCTATACAAGAAAAGTATGGTGAAGGAAATGAAGTTTTGATAATGCTACAACCCCTAAGAAAATGTATTTTTTAAAAGACAGAAAATAGTAGAGCAGAAAACTTATTAAAAATGCAATTTCTTAGTGAAAACTTAAAATAGAAGGTTTGGATTTGGATGGAATTACAACTGATTTTACATGGACAGCACTTCACTCATGGAACACATACTGTTTAATGATAGTATCAGTTTTCAGTATCAGTATCAGTTACTAGATCTGTGGCACATGCTATATTCAATTACAGTTTCAAAGAAAGTTAAAAATTGCCCTTCTCTGAAAAGGGACTATTTTGGGATTGGTACTCATGTGAAAAAAGAAAAACAAAACTGAAACTAAAAAGCCTCAAAATACATATATTTATTTTCTATCAAGTGAAGAGTTATGCAATGCACCTGCAGTTTTGAATTTCAGACATCCACCTTCTTAGTGGATATGTTATACATGGTCCAAGTACTAACCTGTAAGGCTGCCTCTGCCTCTTCCAAAGCAGGTTTGGCAGCTTCCAACTTCTCTTCAGCAATGGCTTTGTCAACTGTGATACTGTCTACAATAGCTTGGGCTTTGTCTTTCACTTTCTGAACATCACCCTTCACATTCTCAGCAGCCTGTGTTTTTACAGTAACTTCTTTCAATACCTAGAATGTAAGAAAACCCACATGCCGTAGTTAAAAGTTTTTGTTGTAAAATCATATCTCTCCAATTTCAGAAAACTCAAATAACATCATTTTCTCCAAGATTCTTTCTTTCCAACAATTAACTTCATTTTAACTGATTCATCTTTTCAAAATAGAATAAATAAAAGGAGAAAAAAAAATCAAACAGCAATACACTTTGAAGCCTGTACATACCATGTCAGATTTTTCATTGGCAATTTGAAGTTCCTTTTCTTTTACCTCCAGTTCTCTGCTTAGAGCAGCCACTGACTCAGAGGCCTCTTTCAATTTTTCCAGACCAGTATTTATTCTGAAGTTAAAAAACAAAATAAAAAGCATCTCATTCACTATGTAATTTACACTCTACTTTCCTTATATAGAAAAAATCGTATCAATCAGAATGAACAATTGCAAGTTATGTTTTACACCAAAAATAAAACTTGGACAGGAATTCTACATTTCTGATATCTTCAGGATCAATAAAGTGGACAATAAAGTACATTATATACATAAGTTTGTGGCTTGAAATTTTACCCGCTTCTGATCAAACAGTATGCCTTTATCATTGCATAAAAATCCTATGTGTTATTCTAGAAATGTCACTCACTGTCCCTCTTGAGCCAATAATCAAAGAACTGAGTTCCATACAGCAGAAAGCATTTTCTGATCACCAAAATTCTGAAAATTATAACCAATCAATATTTCTTATTTGAAATGGAAACTGAAAAGAAACCAAGATCAAACAAAAGAGAGGAAAAGATAAATAGTATTGAGATAAAACTTCTCTGATTCAGCATTAAAATGTCCCTTCAACAGTGCTTTTTTTCTATCAGAAATTCTTCACCTGGGACCTTTCAGACAGCTTAAAAGGCCTCTAGAGAGACTGCTGTTGCGAAGGCTATGCAGTACTTGGACAGCTGAACAAATACAGGAGAACAAAGTGTAACCACTGACAAATTGAGACAGTGCAAATAAGTTTAAGTGGAAGAAATTGGACTCGGTGAACTAACTTGGTAAATCTGAAGGTAGAACACAGGACAACACCCTTCTGTTGTACAAGTCTTCACCCCTAACATAACTACAGGTTTCAAACTCAATTTGGCTTTGAAGACAAAGAATGTTTCAAAGCCAAATAAACAAATTTAAGCCTTTCTTTAAGGTTTCCAGTTCTTTTTGACAATCTTTCAAAACTGAAAGGCAGTTTTTCTTAAGGGTGATACCAGCTGATGCACTGATTGCTAATTTTACATTACAGTTGGGTGCTCCTGACATGAAGATATATCAGCAAATAGATATCATTACTTTAATAAGGCATCTGAAAATAGAAATAAGTATATTAAAACCACCTTAAAAATGCACAATTAAAAAGCTCAGGAGTCTAAGTAAGGCTCTGTGCTCACAAAACCACTTAGGACATTCCTTACATATTCATAACAGGAGGTTACAAGTGTCCCGTTAGGAAACAAAATTTGCCACCTGACAAATTAAATGCTATTATCAATATAGTATAAATTACATGTGCATGCCTTCTTTTACTCATTAAAAACATATGGTTATCCTTTATATTCACCTCATATTCCCTCTACCTCTATTTTTCATGCATCACTACTCTTCCCCCCTGCCCCCCCCAAATATATGTAGTCTATCTTATATGACAAGAGCAACTACAATATTTGAATAAGTTACACCTTCACATAATTTTAGGAATTAAAAATACTTTTTTTTTTTTTTTTCCTGTGTGAGAAGACAAGCCATGCACTGAAATGCAGCATATCAGAATATGCTACCTGGGGAAGAAAACTACAGAAAAACAGAAGTAACCTGAGTAGTCTACCTGTTTGATAATATTTGGACTTCAGCATGCTTTTCTTTGTAGGTGGTTTTATATCCCTGAATAAAAGTCAGGTAGGATTTGGGAGTCACATGTGTAGAATGTCTGTATCTTTGAAAGTAATCAGAACATTTTTCTGCCACTCCATCCTGGAATGAGCCCATACACTGCACAATTTCCATCTTTGTATCAGCAGTGCAGTCCATATCAAATGAGGACAAGAAGTGTTCAGACACTTAGGAAAGAAAGAAAGCCTAAATGTTAGTAAATATTTACAAAAACATCTTAGCTTATAAACAAGTCATTATAAAACAAGTCAGCATGAAGTATCTTAGCTTTCACCCAGCTCCTGAAAACTCAGTCTTCTTTACTCCTCACAGTCAGATTCTGAATATTATTCCACACTTGTCAGTAAAAAGTACAGCCAAGAATCTGTCATTCTTCATCTCCAAAGTGTGCAACTGCTTTTTCATGCTGAACCTAGCTGCTACCTACAAAGGACTGGGTAATCACAGCATTCCTCTGTATGCCCTATCAGAGACATATTCATAAATAATATCTTTCTTTAGTTTATTTGCCTTATTTACAAATACTTTTAAGACATCTTCATGGGGAATTTTTCTTTAAACTGTGTTCAAAACCGTTCCTCTGTTAGAAATATTTCAACAGCTTAATAAAACAGTCTTTAAAGAAGAAAATGTCTACATCAAATATTAGAATCAAGGATTTTTTTTGCTAAAATTCAACACAATTAAAACAGCTAAATGACCACTGATAAAAAAAGTATGTGTCTGCAAAGAAAAAACCTGTACATACCTGCCACCAGAGCATCCTTAGGCCATCGGCTGAACCAATCTATAGTGCATCCAGAAATGAGAGCAGGGAACTTCAGGGCCCTATTTCGGAATTTTTCACCTACTGGTGAAAAGCAAAGAACTACGTGAAGGTTCTGATGGACTCTGGCCATGAAATAGTCATACAGAGCTTCACTGGTTGGAGGTCTTCGTGGATGCTCCTTTTTGAAGGAGGGAATGAGGTCACTAATGATCTCATCTACCTCATCACGTGCAAATAAGTTTGACACCTTTGGGAAGAAGGAAGATTTTTTCATGCTTCTTGAGATGATCCAAAATAAAGGATACAGCATGAGGTTCTTTTAATGCACATTATTGTAGGAAGGGACATAAATCTCAGGCACTGAAGTTATTAGTACCCCCCAGCTTCTTTAACAAGAAGTTTTAATGAAGTTATTCCATTAAATAGACTAAAATGTAACTTGCTGTAAATTTTAAATCCCATCCTCCAATAGCTTTCCTTCCTTATCTTTATATTCTAATAACTAGTAGTAATTACTCTGAAACATAACCCTGAAATAATAAATAAGTAAATAAAATCAATAAAATCCATCAATTCTGGACATAAATTTACCATATAAAAACTAACTGTACACTAGTAGTAAATTTAACAGACAACTTTTTAAAACATCAGTAATATTTCTCAAGTCTCAATTTTATTTTTCTTAAAGGTGTTCTCATGTCCCTTGAGATAGCTTCTCTTGGTCTGACCTAGGATTTTGTAGATTTTGTAGACTGCATTCATTTTTAATAATAATCTAACTACAAAAAGCACTTGAGTTCTAGTTTTTGGAAGTGTACTCTTCAACCTATAACAAAATTTTCAAATAAATTATGTTATTTTACCTCAAAATTATGAATTTTAAAAAGCAGAAAATTGATCATCTTACCTCCCCTGATGACAAAACATTGTTCAAGTATTCTAAGAAAGACTCATCTTTGATCTCATTGTCTGTAAAAAGAAAACAGGTGCCTTTGCCTTGCAGTCCTGCTGTTCTGTATAAGAGTTTCAGATCTTCCATCAAGTTTAAAGTGTTGTATGATCTAAAAAAAAAGTTTAACAAATACTCATCTCACTTGAAAAAAGTCTTCTGACCAAAAGGGTAAAAAAACCAAGCAAATTTAAGTTAGAAACAATGTCTTATGCTAATCAACTTATGGCAAAAAGGTGCTTATATCAGATAGATCCTCTGATGAGACCCATACCAAGGAACATTGACACATGTGAACCTAAAATTTCTTCTGCAGCCAACACACCTGCAAAAGATATACAATAAATTCACTTTTCTAAAATGACATCTTGAGTGCCAAAATTGACCTGTACTACAGACAATTGGATAGGTATTCATTCTGAGGCATTCAGAGAAGGATTTATAATTTATTTTTTATCTTTTGTGAGCGATTTCAAAAGAAACCACATTGGGTTGAACAATACGAAATAAGGCAAAAATGTACTTGGAAAAGGTTGTCAAAATACTGGTATATATGTAAGATCTACCAAATTAGAGGGTCGGGAAAAAGATTCAACATCCTCAGATGACAGCATTTCAAATATTGCAAGATTAATTCATAAAGACCTTTTGGATAGATAACCACCTAAATATATTTTCAGTACCATTTAATGTACTGTGTGTAAAGACTCAAAGATAACTTGACACCGCTAATATTCTCTCTTCTTCTGTGAAAGACACAAAATAATTTCCTACTCCAAATGTAGTAAAAATTCACAATTATTTTAGAAAATCAAGCAAATCTAGTAAGTTTCAAAGGATTTTAATGTCCTTCCACTCTATGTGACGGTGATCAGACTATGTTAAGCACAGAATGTGAGACTGTTTTATCTATAGGAAAACTTAAAACACAAAGTACTTTTTTAGTTAAATTTCAGATAATTCTCACCTTGTCAACATTATCTGGAAAGTGTCATACCCAGCTATGAAGGAAGTCAGTCTTGTCAAGCTCTGCTTTCCTGAGCCACCAACTCCAACTAAGAGAGCATGTCCACGAGGAGTGCGAATCACACGAGAAATCTGTGTAATATACCAGTCATTTATTGCTACAACATGTAAGAGTCACACATCCAAAAATTCCATGCTACCCCATTAATAAAGTTATATTAGATAATAAGAACAAATGAAAATTTTAAGGTTTGATTAAGGGATTCTATATTACTATGAATATATTCTGTGAACATTTGTACTTTGCAATATTTACTGTTGACCTGTCAAATATTATAGCAACCATTTGATTCCATCGCTGTGTATGTTCAGTTATAAGTAGAATTACATGTCCCACAAAGTACAAGTAAATCTCAACTGTAATTTCTTGGTAATGTGCTATCACAGCTTGAGGGAATACCATGACCTCTGGATAACTTTGGTAAGACTCATCTCACCAGGTCCTTTCATTGTGACCCAAAACACATGTCCCAAGCATGTTAAATCTGGGACAGAGTCTTCACTATTCTCTGCAGCAGGTAATAATACTGCCTTTATGATGAAATTTGTTATGCTTCTCATTTACTTGACTGAAAATATGCACAGTATCAAGTATGAATATTTGATCTTAGTGAAACATTTCCCAATTAGATCTACATTCCTTTCCCACTTCATCATTTATCTTTTAAATCAAAAGGCAGTAGCTTCCTACTTCTTCACATTTCCCTTCAGTTCAGGACTGTGCAGTGTAAATAAACAGACCCTTTAGAATTTAGAGAAAAAAAAAAAAAATCAGCATTAAAAGTGAACTGAATACAGCATTTGTCCTACTGCCCACAGCCAAAAAACAATGCCATGAAACATGACAGCACATCAGTTGCAAGTGGACAGACCTTCATTGTACCCAGAAGAGCCTACATTAATATCCAGAGCAGCACAGAGCCAATTCCCTCTCAAAGACACAATAATACCAGGCAGCTGGTTAGCAGCTGGTCTCCTCCATATAAGCAATGATGCATGGGATTGGCTTTCGTTCTCTTTATTATCTTGAACAGTTCTTTGATGACTCCAGAATTCCAACATGTCAATAAACAACTCTGGGCACTTATTTACTTGCCCTTCCTCTAAGTGACTTCTCTCTAAGCTATTAAAAATAGTCATGTCAATTTTCCCTAATTTTAAACCTATTTATTTTACATGTTGAATGTAATGTATTTATTATTTTCCATAGGTTAATGTTTCATAAGAAAGATAAAATAAATTATGACGGTTTACTCTAAGCTTTATTATTTAACCAGAGAAAGAAAACTTAATTTGCACAAGGCCCTTGCAATATCACTGAACATGTCAATAGTGGCTATTAGATCTGTTCCAGGCAGAGGCTCACAAGCTGTTAATTGGCAACTTTGTCCTCTATTTAAGATATCACTCAGCTTTCACTCATTCAAGTCATATTACGTCAGCTCAGATTAGGCATTACTTCAACTGTGCCTATCTAACTTTCTCTTTGAAGCTGTCTCAGGTCTACACTGTTGTTCCTGCTTAAAAGAATTTAGAATCATAGAAACACTTTTTATCCAAGCAAAGCATTTTATATGAAGTATAAAATTATCATTTTATCCAAGAAAATACTAATAAAATATTTCAGGTATTTATCATCTAGCTACCCAAAGAAGATATTCCTGATGACAGGTGGCTGTTCAGTGAAAAAAAATTATTACATCCAAAACTTCTATAGTTTTTCCTGGAAATAAATGAAAAACTGATTGGGAAGTGTGATGATTATTTATAATTCTCCTAAAGAAATCCAGAGCAGAACATAATTAATTTTGCAGTGAACTTAGAAAGAAAAAGACTAATTTTGTGAAATAACAAGAATTCACCAAAATTTTTAAAAACTGCAGATGCAATGTGTTTTTCAATTATAATTAAATTTAAATTGTTTTGATATTCAATATTGTATTTGTGAGGATGATGCAATTACATATTTAGTTCTTCATCATTTTTAAAATACCGAAAACCTCGGTATTCAACTTAGACAATAGGGGTTCTAGTGTTTAAAAAAAAAAAGGCTCTCCTTTGTATGAGGCCTGTTCTGTGTGAACAATCATATCAAGCTATGCTGTGCTCAATGTTATGGTCAGCTTCAATCCATATTCAAAAGAACTTTAAAATGAGTGAGCATACTGTGGATCTACAAAAGAATTTTGGACTGCATTAATTTGTACTCTGCTGTGCGTACTCCTTCAGAAGCAACCAATTATGTCTTAACCTGAATTTAATTTGACTCATTCCCAAGACAGGAAGGGTTCCCAGAAGAATTAAGAAGAAGGAAGGTTGAAATAGAATTTGAATAGCTAGCACCATGATACCACCAAACACAAAAGATAGGTATAAAAGAATAGTTCCATGTGGTGCATTTTCTGAAAAGTTTTTAATAGATTTTAGTACATAGTCAAAGTATGACAGATCAAATATTTAGTTGCTGCAGTTTCAGAAGTAATTTACCTTGATTCATGCATACCTCTACTCAAAGGAGATGTAGGCAAGTGAACAACAACAAATGGCAATCCAGCAAGACTGTACCTTGACTAAATGAACCATAGCATCCTCAAAGAAAACCATGTCCATTCCAGTACCGCGAACGTTCTCATTGTATGTTTGTAAAAAATTATTTAAACGATTCCGTAGCTGATGAAATGAGGAGATTGGTTCATAGACTTTGGGAATATCTAAATTATCTTCCTCTGGTTTCTCATCTAGAACAAAAAGCAAGCAATAAAACCTTAGCAGTTTAAATAATTGACAAAGGTTCAATGAGGGGGTAAGTAAGTGAAGATATCTAGAAGTTTCACCACCCAGAAACAGATTTATTATACATAATATTATATGTTAGATGTACATATGAGAGTGCTGAATACACACTGCCTGTAAGATATGTTAATTTCAGCAACACAATTTTTAAAGATAAAATGAGAAAAAAAAATAATTGTCTTCTTTCTTTTTATCTGAAACTTGAATGATGAAAAATGATACTTGTTTAAGTGCTATGGAAAAAAGTAGAACTAGAGAATGAAGCTAAATAAATACTGAAGTTAAAAATTGCAAATAATTTTTCTGTAAAAGAAAAACAGTCTAAATGGATTAAATAATTGCACTAGAAAAAACATACTCTTGAAATTACTAACTGCCACAACAAAAAAATATATTCACTCTGAATTAGCATACATTTGTTTCCTTAGGTGATATGAAAGGCACAAGTCAACTCTCAAAGAAAGGAGGTAACAGTGCTGCTGCCTCATTCATAGCCTTAATCATGCTGAAAGTGTCATACCCAGCTGAAAGGTGACATGCCCTCATTAATAAGAATTCTTACAGCAAATAAAATTACAGAAAAGTTGAGATCAGCAGGGAACTCTGAAGGTCATTTTGTCCAACCCCTTGCTCAAGATGGGCCTTGAACCACCTAGAGCTGGTTCCCAAAGCCCAAAGATCATGCTCACAAATCTTACGAATACCTCCAAAGACAGATTCCACAACATTTTTAGACAACCTCCACCAGACTGTCACAGTAAAAAAAAAAAAAAAAAATTACTGATGTTCACGTTCTTAGACAGATTTTATCCACTATATCTATGTCTTTCTTGTATTGGGGAGCCCAGACTCAGACACAGCACTCCAAGTGCTGAAAAAGGGAAAGGACCACCTCCCTTGGCCTGCTGGCTACATTTCTTCTAATGCAGCTCAGGATGTCACTAGTTTTTTCTTCCTGCAAGGGTACACTACTGGCTCATGTTCAGACTGGTGTCAACCAGCACCTCCAGGTCCATTTCTCCAAAGCTGACTTGCAGATGGGTGACCACCAGTGTATACTGGTGTGTAGGACCTTTCCTCCCCAGGTCTAGGACTTTTCTCTTCCCTTTGTTGAACCTTATGGAGTTCCAATTAAGGTCCATCTGGGAGCCAGCGCAACCTCTGGCATATCAACCACTCCTCCTAGTTTTGTTTCATCTGGGAACTGGCTTGAGGGTGCATTCTGCCCCATCACCCAGACTACTAATGACAATGTTGAGGATAACTGGGATAACTGGACTCTGTGCTGACCCCTGGGATACACCATTAGTTAGTTACTGGTCTCCAATTAAACTTTGAACCTGATCAACACTGTCTGGGCTTGACCATTCAGCAATTTTCAATCCATTTCACTTCTCATCCAGACCATATGTCATTAATAAACGACTGACAAAACTCATTGAAACAGTGCCAGCAGGCATACAACAGGGGGGTTTTGGTTGCTGGTTTGGATCTCCTCAAAAATAATACTAGTACAAGTTTGTTCTTATTTACATACGTTTAGCTCAGTTAGTTTCAGGATTTCATGATCTGTATATGCTACAGGATGTATTTTTCCAGTTATCCTAGATCAATCAGTTTTGCTAAGCCTCTCCAAACTCGCTGAAGAAATATATAATTCAGAAAATTATCTCTAATTAGTAGAATTAAAATCAATTAAATAAGTCATCCCAGTAAAATAAGTATTTCCCTAAGGCTTAGTAAAGCACTACTACCTAGTGTGAAGGTTAGGAATAGAAAGATGGGGAAAAAACTCCAACCCCCAGATAAACTCTACTGTATTTAGAATAGTGTCAGTAACTTTTTTCTTGTTTCAAATTTTTTCTCTATTTCCTTTCCATTGCACCATTCTAATGCTCATGCAGTTTCAAAGGAAAAAACAACAGAAAAACAATAATGAAACTAAAACCCAAAAATACATATTTAAAAACATAGTTTAAGAAACTCACATTTTGCCACAGAACCTACTCTCTCAATATATTACTAATTCTCTTTCAGCTGTCCTTTGTGTTGCATATTTTGTTTGCTTGAAGTCACCTTAGTTTCAGAATTTTTAGCTCTATATTGCTTCTGCATATGAACACATCTCTAGATTAAAACCTAATTAAATCAATTTACTTCTTATTTTAACCTGTAAAAGCACTGGTTAAACAAAAGGAGTATTCCAGGTGAAAATAAATTTCTTACAAGTTGAATAAGACATTTAAACAAATTAGGAGCTAAGAAACTAATAAAGAAATACATCAAAGAGTTAAACTGCAGTGATTCTTTTACAGTTTTGAAACATTTAAAATAAATATATCATCTTAATTCTGTTCCTACAGTTTTATTATTAATGTCCAAGGACAGTGTAATCAAGTACAAAACCTAAGAAAAGGCAGACTCTTCCACTATTTAGAGAGGCAGCTAGCAAAATGTATTATTTTAAATCTTGCTCAGTCTCAAGTTTCATAATCACAAGTACTAAATAGCAATGACAAAACCAACTGATAAAAACACCTTTGAATAGATGAAGGGTCTTGAGATCACTAGCACCACTAACAATTCCTTTGAAGCTAAGATCGAAAAGCAGACCAAGATTTAAATCATCATGTATTTCTCTCAGGGACAAACATACTGTGCTTTTACAACCCAGAGACAAAAAGATTATGTAATACCAGTAAACATACTACTAATTTGAGCATAGGGCTCTGAAGTCAATGTTGGACATCATTCTTTATGTATTTAAGAGCTCAGAAATCAAGGTCCTGCTCTCACACTTGCATCATAATGGGAAATACAAAATGCCATTTTAAGGACAAATAAAACAAAATTACACTTGTTATTCTTTTCATTCAAAGTCAAAAACAGAAAGTGGGTTCTCAAGGCTCAGGATTTAGGTTAGGTCCCAAAATCTATTGAGGGCCAAATACAGTCTTTCTATATGAGAGTCTCCTGCTTTCTATTTAGATGAAGTTTCATGCTAAGAGGCATATTACAGGACAGATACATTTAATCTGTCACCAAGAAGGCAAATACTTTTGAGAAATACATTTATTGTTTTATATTTCTTTTTCAGTTCAATATGATGACTTCTAGTGTGGACTTAAATTTTCATATTAAAGATCACTCTTCATCCTCACAGTATGCATTCTGACTTACTTTTCAGTCATCTTTATACTGATAAAAATTAGCAAGTTATTTCCTTTCTTACATCAGTTTACTTTTACTTCTCTTTTATTCCTCCCAATGAAATATATCTTATCCTTTATTCCCTTTTGTCACTGCCTTTTGTCTACTTCAATTGTTCAAGGAAAGGTTCAAATAGCATTGGCCATTCATGCCAGTCTCTTATTGCCTCCACTCTCCATCATTGCAGTGATACCAACAAAGAGAATTATCCAATGGCCTTCCCCTAAACACAAACAAATGTTTTCTATTCTTTTGCAACAATTGATAAATATTCCCAGGTCAATTAGTGAGGTCAGTGTGTCTTGGTTAGACAAGACAGGAGTCTGTGAAAGAGGGCAAAGCCTCCTGTGCAATGGAGAACGGCAAACCCCCCTCCCTCTGAATTACGAGGATCTTTAAATTAAAAGGCTCTCAGGCAAAGATATGGGAGTGGGAGTAACAATTCTTTACTAGGAGAAAACTAGACAACAATTTAAAAAGGCAAATGCAATCGGTACAAACAAAACCAGTGAAAGAAAAAGTCTAGAACCTGAGGAATGCCAGTATCAGGTTTGCTGGGACAATTGCTTTCCCTTGCAATAGTTGATGAGTTGCAGCTGAAGTGGTGATCTTTAGAAGGGTATAATTTTCCTCTGAAGATCTGGTGGCAGTGGGGGCCGGTCTTCCTCTGCGCCGGCTGCTTCGCTGCGAGTGCCGCCGAAAAGAGAGAGAGCGAGAGCTGCTTTTCTGGGAATCCCGCGAAGAGAGAGAGAGAGCTGCTTCTCTCGGAGTCCCGCGAAGAAGAGGGAGAGCTGCTTCTCTCGGAGTCCCGCGAAGAAGAGAGAGAGAGCTGCTTCTCTCGGAGTCCCGCGAAGAAGAGCGAGAGAGCTGCTTCCCCCCTCTGGGTGGGACCCCTCACGGTGTTACATTTTTTCAGCCCTTCATTGAATCAGTCAAAGGTGTATAAACAAACCATTGTCTCTGAGAGAGATAACAAAAACCTGTCCAACCAGTTCGCCTTCGACAGATGGCAAATGGAATACAAGCTTATCTTACAACCCAGGACACAGTGTCACCCTGTTTTTGTTTGAAAGACAAAAAGGAATTGCTAAAAGTCAAATGGGTTTTTTAAGAGGTGTAACTAGTATTCAGGACAATTTGAATTAATAGTAATTTGTTACAAAATCATGTAACAGTTATTTCCTAAAGACTATTGGATTAGCCCAGAGACAGTAATTTTTTATCAGATTTNGGGCATTTCACAGAATCACAAAAGGAAAATGGGGCATTTTGGAAGGGACCGCAGTGGATTATCCTCCCTGCTCAAGCAGGGTCATCCTAGAGCACATGGCACAGAATTGCATCCAGATGGTTCTTGAATATCTCCAGTGAAGGAGACTCCACAACCTCCCTGGGCAACCTGTTCCAGGGCTCCATCGCCCTCCCAGTAAAGAAGTTCTTCCTCATGTTCAGATGTGAATCAGTTTCTGGCTCTTGTCCCATTGCTTGGCACCACTGAGCAGAGCCTGGCTCTGTCCTCCTGATGGTCTCCCTTTAGATGCTGTCAGACTTCGATGAGGTCTCCCCTCAGTCTTCTCATTTTGAGGCTGAAGAGACCCAGCTCCCTCAGTCCCCAGAGGTGCCCCAGTCCCTTAACTGTCTTTGTAGCTCTCTGCTGGACATGATCCAGGAGTTCTATGTCTCTCTTGTACTGAGGACCTCATTTGGTTTGCAAAAAAACTAAACCAACTTTAAAGCTTTACTTTCATTTCTTAATTTTAAAATAACATTAACATTAGAAAAGAAATAGTATTTGAGGGGGTTCTTCAGAAGAGATACCTTGAGCTTCTTATTCTGGCCAATAGCAATTTAAGATTATATTCAGTTAATTATGGAAGAAGTCTTAATCTAGCATTCCAAAATGAGGTGTATGAAGATTTTTTTTTCCTCAGCCCTGAAACCATATTCATACCAGTTAACATATTTATGTATTGATAAAACACCTTTCTAACTGGCCATTATGGAGAAGGTGGGTAAAAATATAAGCATTATGGCAAGAAGAATTTCATGCCAAACACAGATATCACTCCCTATGCTACAGCCAAAGTAGTTAGAGAAAACAAAGAAAAAATGTTTAAGTGTTTATATTATCCCTTCTCCAAATTCAATATACCTTTAAAGTCTCTCCATTTGGTCACAGGATGAAGAAGGAGAACCTGTCAGGCTGTCAATACCAGCAGCACTGATTTTAATCCTATACTATTACCTTACAATACTAGAAAAAATTCCAGATACATCTAGAAGACATTTTGTTCAGCCTGCAGCACTTTGTACAATTGATGCATACTATGTCAAGTCTCAGAACTAACATGTAAATTTATATTATAGTATTTTGACCAATAGTATTATAGTATTTGGGTTTTTACACTTCAAAAGACATTGAGTGTGTATATACAATACATAAGCGCTCCATGTTTTTGCTGCACAAATTAAAATCCATTCTGAAGTTTAAATTTTAGATGCAATAGAGTTCAGGAGCTTATTCAACAGAGATGCACATTGTACGTGGAGCTATTAGATAACCCAAATATTTAACAAATTTTCCATATTTACCATAAACATTGCTTTTTCAGCCCTAAATGTTTCAGAGCTTAAAATTCTAAATGACTTTTCCTTAAAACAATTAGAAGATAAATTGTGTTTTACTGGAAGAAAGATGGATTATGAAAAAAAAGTACTAGTAATACTTGTCACTACTTCTTTTTAAAACATAAGCCAGAAACCATTTGTTAGACAGAAATTAGGCAGTGACTGAAAGTCTCAAGATACTAATGGAGACGAGGAACTATTCAATTTTTTAATCAATATATAAGTATTAAAGTAAGTTCATTGCTTCTCACTTATTTTCTCACTTCTTTCAAAGAAACTAACATTTGTCAGTAATAGGAAAAGCAGATAGAAGCAAACTGTTATGACAAAATAAATGGGTTTTTTCATTGCTTTGAAACAAACTTGTCATTTCAGTTGGTGCTATAAAAGCTGGACTGGAACACCTTTGCCTCAAAAAACCCACTAAGGTTGCATTTTTTTAAAGCAAATTCAAATGCCAAGATATACTCTCATCCCCATTTCTATACTAATTATAATAAGGTCACTAATGTGCTGCACTTACCTGCGGTTCACTGATCACTTCCGATGTAGCATTCAGCATTCCTTGCCAAATCCTCGAGAGGTCTCGAAGGTTGAAGACATAATGAAACTTGGCTGGTGTGGGCAACATTTTTAGCTTGGTAATCTGCCACAGCCTGCGTGTCAATGGAACCAGTTTGGCTACTGTTTCCTTCACATCATCTGAAAATCCCCGCTCACTACAGTAGTGTCCTTCTCCAATTACACCTGTGGAAAGAAAGATTACCAAATCAAAGGCATGTTAGTGCAACACCAAGAGCAATGATTATCTGAAGCTTCTGTTTCTTTTATTTTCCAATCCCAAAAAACTTTCCAAATTTGTTAAAATGGCTTTCTAGTGTATATTCAAATTTTGATTCAGCCATTCTTAACACCATTCTGCCACTTATACAGTGGTTATTTAGCTTTGAATTAACAGCATATTAAAATATTCTTTTTCTCACAAAATAGTTTCCACTGGCCTTAAATAATTAATCTCCTGCTGAAATCAGTATGACCCATTCTTTGTGGAAGTCTAGTCTTTAGTCACTTATTCCTAGCAGCAGCAGCACCTGAGCTACTGTCCAGCATTGTCACTAAAACAATACCTTCATGTCATCCTTACTAAATCTGAGCATACCATGAGTTTCAGAGACGTGACTGGACCTGAAAAATTTACAGACTGATGACATTGCAGGTGGGGAATGATTACTGAAGTAAAATGTGCTGGTAAACAAATCAGAGGGGAACTAAGCCTCAATTTTAACAATAATGTGTACCAATAGAATGATAAGAGAAAATCAACTACTATTTTAAAAAATGAGATGGATATAAAGCTAATTTCCCTTTACCAAAAATTTTGTCAATGGAAGAATTGGAAGGCAGAGTACAGTTGAACACTGAAAATTGTCTCTTCAGCCTCTGTGGAATATCATTGCAACCTCCCCCAGGGTGGATCATGGCAGCCAAAAACTGAATGTCCATGATGTTGGTAAATTCCCCAGGTTTTTCCAGGTTATACAGTCCTTTCTGTTCCATCAGTTGCCTAACTATCTCATTAGTGACCTGTAAAATAACCAGGTTTTATAAAAAACAATGTTATACATACAAGTGAATTAAATGCAAAACATACTTAGTATGTTTGAAATACCTAAGAAAGAGTATAACACTATCTTGTTCCCTAAACTTCTGCTTATTTGCTTCAGGATAAAGCTGCACCGCAAATAAGCACATTTGATAAAATCGAAGGATAAAAATCATGGGACTAGAAGGGTACCCCCATTTAGAACTAATCATTCATACAACAATTTACTCTCATTTGAATGCTGCAAGATTCCCATTGCTGTTGGAAATACTTCTGTCTTTTAAAACAAAATTTCCAGTTTTTCTAGTCAAGCCCAAACTAATGCATCTTTGCATCTTTTTTCTATCAAGCCCAAATGCATCATGTTGCAAATGATACAAAATATTTGTATTAAGTTGGATATATAACAATATCAAGCATGGTTTTCAAGCTGAAATAATAGAACTACTTCCATACAAAAGCATGCAAGATCCTTTTCTCTAGCTATAAAGGGATACCCTACATTTCTGTTTGACAAGATGAAAATACCACACAGAGAATACATCCTATAGCTATGTACCTATAGAAATTCTAACATTAGTTTCCAAACCAATGTGCTTCAGAATAACTTTGTCAATATACAAAAAGATTACTTCCATTTTGTCTGAAGCAGAGAAGACACGTCTTACCTCTCAGATTTCACAGTATTTCAATTATTGCCCACAAGGTCAGTTTGCTATCACGATTTGTGTGCCAAAAACTTCTTATTTTTAATTGTGAGTGTTGTTAAAAACCATTATTAAAATTATACAGGCACATTCTAAGGAGCACTCAAACTTCTTCTTGCTGTCAGCATATTTATTTTCAATTAATTCCTGACAAATTAATGCAGATGGGTTCTTTAAAAAGACTGTTTAAAATTAAAGTACTACATATCAAGTTCACCCTATTCTGAATGACTGAGAAGCCAGTTTTACAGTGTAGCATAAAAACAAAGAAAACCTTTTGTCTTCTTTTCTCTTCTTCCACAAACTAACCTGATCTCCCCATTCATTGATTATGGGCATGTTCACATCATCAATGAAGACTGTCATCTTTTTGCCTGCAGGTGGACCATAAGTTGTGCCCATGTGCTTATCCACATAACTTTCTATTGTACGCTGTTAAAAAGCAATTAGCAACATAGTTACAAAGAGCATTTCATTTCATACACGATTCAATCACCTAAACGCATTGATGGTTCTGTTACATAGAATTTTACTAAGTGAAGTTTAGACAGGCATTTGCTGGAGGTAATTGCACTAGTTCAACTAGAATGTCTGAAATCTCAAGGTATGCAGAACTAGGCTGGTGTCTACAGTAGGCAACCATGCCTAACACTTTCATAAATCTGAATAGGTTTCAAACTTTTCATTTTATTCATTTATCAGCAAAATTGATGATTGCTAGCAATAAAGATCAAATTGAAGATGTAATTCTGGAACACCTTTCCAGCAGGTATCAATGGACTTCATAAAAGCATATATTTCTAATTAAACTCACATATATAAATACACTTGATGAGAAAATTTTGCCTAATGGTAGACCTGCCTCTACTGTTCTTCTTGTCATCTTTCTATTTCTATGTTCTTCTTAAGGTCCAGTTTTTATTTACTCTATCCTAAGTGAAAATTCACTTAACCATACATAATTATTCTTCAGTATAAATCTAAATATCTGCAATCTTACACTATGCTTAGGTTTCAGTCTTACAAAATTAGCATCAGTTAGACCAAGATTTTAAGAAGCTAGAGTAATTTTAAAGCATGTGTCATAACAGAATGTTTTGATCTAGATTGTTAACAGAGAATTGACTTAGTCTTGTACGTCTATTTCAGATGTCCTGATCATCACAATCTCACCTATCACAAATTAAATCTACATTTATTTTATAAAAATATTTTACTTTTTGTTTATAGCCCAATGAATAGAAGAAAAAAATCCTAAGGAAATTTAGACCAAAACTACATGTTTGCATACTATATAACATGTTAGTAGTTTCTACTATGCTATACAAGCAGATGATAGCTGATTCATCAAGCTTATAGACAGCACTTAGAGTGCAGACAGTGCTTTGGCATGGCATACCAGACTGCATTAAAAATATTCCACAATTACATTGCCAGGAGGTTAAAGACACTGAAATAATTCAAATTAGTTTGGTAGAAATTTTGGACAGGCAGTACAGTTTGGAATTTAAGCATTCATAAATGTATGCAGAGCAGCTGCACTGCATGTGTCACTTTTTTAATGAATAATTGTAATGACATTAAATTGTAGACAGCACACCTTTAATGACAGATTGTTGGGGGTAGCACTTCTTTCACCCATGGTGTTTAATGAAATCCAACAGCTCTTTCCAGTTAGTGAGAACAGACACATTTGACACAAAAACATAATATGATAAGGACAATAATAGATATGTTATTGTAAAAGTCCAAGAACAGCTCAATAGCTCCTGAAAAAGTTGAATGGAACTATTTTTTTACAGAAGTCTTAAATCATGCATTAGAACGCTTGGGACCATTTGAACAGGTGCTTTTTTATTGTTTAGAATCACTTTCAGAAGCATCCTCCAGGCAAATTATCAGACTTCTCTGAATCCAACTATCTTGTATGAGAAGATTAATCAGTACTATACCTGAAAAATTAGCGGGGTCGTTGCAGATGAAAAATTCAAACTCTTAGTTATGTGCCTTTCAGAGTTATATTTTGACATAAAACCTTTGATTATAACAGTCTTCGCAGTTCCTTGCTCACCAATTAATAGGACAGCCTAGACAAAGACAATATTGAAATAAGATGAAACAAGAGCTGTGTGTCTTGGCAAAGGCTCAACAGTCCCATTTAGCTTTTAAACAGAAAATAAACTAGAAAAATTATGTAAAGTGAACTCTTCACAAGATATATGTAGAAGTAAAATAGTTAATGTTTCATAGATTTTTGCAGGCCTGACAAGTTAAAAATATTTGCCGTTAATGGTCATGTCATCCAGTACAGTCACACTAACAAGGAAAGGAGTTAATTATTTGAAAAAGGGCTTAATCATCTAGAAACTCAGTATCTGTGAAATTTCAATTGCTTATGTGACACAGTTTTGGTGAAGAATAGGGTTTCATAACCTAAAGCTACATGAATTCTGTAACTGCCCCATGCTTGCAGAGTTCTATCAGCAGAGTCAGATATGAGCCTCCTGACCTATGTGCTTCTCCCTCTCACATCAGTACATGAAAAAATTGGTTCCATTCTGACCTGATCTCAACATAATTACAGTTATTTCCACTACAGAACGAAGGGGTGAGAACAAGACAAAAAAGTCTGGAAGTAGTGACTATTCAAGAGTTCAAGTATATTTGCATGAAAGTAGCTTCTGGAAACACCATCTTATATCTTAAAAAAAAAAAAAAATTAAGTCCTTCCTTTTCAATAACATAATATTTCACTGCTAATCCAAACCTTTTATCATGTGTTCTGTTGGCAGTGCTTTGATATGAACTATAAAAAAAGTACCTTGCCCTGTTTTGCTATGGTTCCAATAAGGAAATCCATTCTCACATTGTCAACATTAGGCACAAGAATTGAGTCATACTCTGGGGTACCACTAGTGGGATATACATACTCTTCAACGTGTGTATTCCAGTGCATCCATGTACCTAATAAGAAAGAAATTAATTTCATGTTTTAGAAATACTAGGCATCATCAATTCCTTTATTTTCCACTCAGTTCACTCATCTGCCTATGTTTCTGTCTCACATACAGCAGTCCCTCTCTGTGTATCCAGACTAAAATTTATAGAATCATATAATCATAGAATCCCTCAAGTTGTATCTAAGAAGCTTACTCCTCTTTTCTACATAAATTATGATGACAACAACAAGGATTACATGTTCACCACAAAGTCCATGCAGCTTTTGTAGCAATATATCCACATTCTAACTTTTCCCTGGAAACAGGGAAAATGCTAAACACAACAACACCAGTAAAGTATAGCCATAAAACAAAACTTGCTAAGGGACACAAAATATGGTAAGCTATAAAATACTTCTGAATTATCTTTAAAAAAAGCACAACTATAAAATAACTTTTTAATTTTACCCCATATCACCTTGCTGAGTTACTAACCATCAGATGCCACATAATAGTCAAACATTGTATCTTCACTAGCTTCTGGGATACAAGGAAGATCAAGCTTTACTGTTGCATGTTTTCGAAGCCAGTATTCCATTTTGCACCTGTCCTCCAGCTCTAGCAATGCTCCTATGCTCCACATGAGAGAGAAGATATACAGCCTTTCCAAGTATTTTGGAGTCAGTTCCCCACCTTGCTCCTGAAGGATTGAGTTAGGTTTTAATTTTCAACAGCCTGAAAACTCTACTTGATAATCATTAGTAACATGAGGTTAGAAGTCTTCAGTTGCATATAAATTTAGAGACATCTTCAATGATCAGACAGAATCAATATAAACTGATAACAAATCACCCAAAAGTAAAAAAAGGAAAACTGTCAATCCATGCTCCATGTGCTTAATGTAAACCAGTGCTTAACATCAAATCCAAATGAGAAACTGTGAAAGAGGTCACATCCCAGCTATTATTTTCTAAAGAAACAGAAGTCATTCCTTATTAACCTGCATCTCCTTTGACATTCTAAGTCATCAAAGAATCTCTCTTCATAAAACTTTGTTACTTAAAATTATCTGCAATATGTTAAGTATATGGAAAAACACTCACACGACCTACCTTAGGTGGGATAAGGCCTTGCAGCATATTAATGCTCTGCATAATCACAAAGGCTTCCAGCATCTCAGTCTTGCAATGCAGAGACTGAATGCTGAAGCGGTACAAGTCTGGGAACGATGAAGAATACAGCTGACGTAGAATTTCAGCCTCTTGGAAGGAACATTTTTTCAGAAATCCCTATTGTAAAGCATAAATTTAATTCCCAATGCAAGTCTCAATGAATTAAAGTACAGTAATTCAAAAGGCTCAGGAAGCATGGAATCTTGATTTTTTGGGGGCAGAATGGGAGAATGGGAGAAGGGGAAGGAGGGAGGAAGTTAAGTTTTAATTAAGGGTTTAATTAACAGAAGATCAAATTTTACCGAAGTATGCATAATTCCTACTGGATGTTAAATATGAAGAGAATGGAAAAGAAAAAACTGTGTTCAACAGCACAAAAATAATGATTTTCAAATATTTTAAAATCACAACAGTTGTGAAAGGTATCCAAAAACTCTGCAAAAAAACCAAACAATATGTACGGAACACAAATTTGATTTATTCTACACCTTATTTCTAATGGGGAGGAGGATAACCTGAAAGATCTGGCAGATATACAAAAAAAATCAGGATATCAGGGGGAGGTCTGCTGGTGCGTTTAGCATTCTTATTGTGTATCTCAGTATTTGTAGTGATGGATAAACAAAACCTAAATAAACTACCCATTTCTTAAGATCACAGAATAGGATTCGTTCTTTGATGCTATTAATTCAAAGTAATAACATGATTCTTGGTGTTACCTTGAAGTTTTCGCTCATATGCAGGGTAGAATACTTCTCATTTACATCCCATAAATTTATTTCCTACATAAAATACAATCACCAGCAAAACCCCCCAGAACTCAAAACAAAATTTTGAACTAATTGAAATCAAATACATTTGCTTTAAACACAGAATGCTCTTCTCTTGTGAAAGTAGTTAAAGCTGGAGTAGGCTCCTCAGTGAGCTCCTGAAGTCTCCATCTCAGAACTCAACAGGACACAGACTTCAGCAAACTCCTCTAGATTGACTTGACTAATGTTGTATTCAATATTATCTCTAGAGGTTCTTTCCAAACTCAACTATATTGTGCTTCTATTATCCGTTCAGCTACATTCATAATATTTTTAAATTATACATTGACTTCCCAAAGTAAATAAATTTTGAGACTGATTATAAATAAGGATATTTATGAAAAACCTTTCTAAAATGGGTAGGTGGAAAACAAAGTGATGAAAATTAAAATACAGAAGTGTTTAAAATAGATATCCAAAATTCACTGATTGTTCAAAAAATATTAGGGGTTAGTAGAAAAGCTGATAAGATGTGTTTGCTTTAGAGAAGGTTGACGAGTAATGGATCAAATACCTTTGATCTCTTTGCATAAACTGCTTAAGAAGCATATTACATGAAAACAGCAACATGAACTTGAGAACTATTTCACTGAACTTGGAAGTTGCATATGTCATAATAATGTATCCAAGGAGGCAGCTATATTTATTTGTTTGCGAATGGTAAGGATTGAAAATAAAAATATATACAACAACTTCCTGAGTTATCCATATTTGTCATTAATCATGTTTTAAAGTTCCTCTGAAATATCAACGAGTACTGTTTCATTCATCATCTGAGAATCAGCAAGGTTAACATCTACCATGACCTGTTGGAATATGAAGTGTATTGTATTACAAAATAGATTTCAAGGGAGGTATACTGAAAAAGCCATCAAGACATTTTATCCATGATGTAAGACCAAACCAAAAACCCAAACAAATGCTATTTGAACAAATTATAAATAACAATAGCCTTCAATTTTATAGCAAATTTTGTAAGGAGGAAAGGAAGGGCAGTTGGAAAGGTTACTTCATGGTGAATTGAACATAATTTTGCTTATGTAATCCAAAATTTGAAAAAAAAAAGTTTATATTCTTTAGTCTGTTTCTACCACTGAAATATATTAAAACCATAAGGTTATGGATTAAGGAAAACTAGTTTCATACAACTCTTCAACACAACTAAATTTAGCCTGCATCTCACTTGTGAGGATGTAAATCATGAGTGACAATGCAAAATAAAATGCTTTTCTGTCTACTGTTTTTGCAGCTGAATCTTTAGCACAATCTTTAACATCCAAGGAGTGGTTGTCTGCAAACAATGCAAGGAAGCAGAGCTGTGAGAACCTAAGATCAGTAGGCCCTATACAGTGTTGTAAGCACAGAAAGGAATAACACAAGTTAAATCTCAGGGGAGCCACTGTCCTAGATTCAAAATTTACACTTTCCCGAGTGTCCATATTAGTTTAAAAAATAAAACAAAAAACATTTAAAAATAAAACTTGGCAGTAACATACTTGTATTGACTGCATGTATTTGCGTTGGTAAAACTGAGGTTTTGCCAGCCAATTTTTTAGGAAACTTGTTAAACACTTTTTCCATAATAGGACTACAAGTATTTTGGGCATGGCAAAGAAACTCATCAAATGAATTAGTGATGATTCTCAAGTGTTGCAGAGACCTGTGACTGAATAGAAAATTCCATGTGATTTAATTTCGTTCTAAATGGAAAAGTTTCAGATACTACTAGAAAAATATAGTATCAGTCCTCTGCAGCAACCCTCAGTTCTTCTCAAGCAGCAAACCTCCAAGGGTGCAACAAGTCAACAGGACACGGGTGTTTCCAAGACAGGAAGGAATACCTGACAACAATCCTGTTTCTTTTCCTGCTAATGGGTTAAGGCTAAGCAAGATTCTGGTGCCTTCCCAAATGGGTCTTGCTGCTCCTCACCTATTTTCCAGGCATTGTACCTGACTGGCCATTTCAGATGCACAGGAGGAAAAGAAACCTTGTGACTGTTGCCAGAAATCACAAGTGTACAGCCTTCCTCACCTTGGTAATTTCTGCTCACCAAAACACATCCCCTGGCTTCACTTTTCCCAGAGGAGCTCCCCTGCCTCCAGTCCCAAAGAGAGGCACCAGGCACTGCCTGGCACTCGGGGCTTGGACTAGAGCATACTGTCTCAATTTCTTTCTGGGCTGAAACCTCTAATTTGCTAAGGACAGTGGTTCTAAGCAGTGCCACAAGCCAATTTTCCTCTGTTGCCAGACAAATCAGGGATTTAGGGACAAGGAATCTGCTTATAATCAGCAAGCTATATAAAACTCACAAGCATGAGAACCTTTGCAGGTTAAAGAAATAAGAAATCTGAGAATAACAGTAATCGCTACAAAAGGCTGACGCCTGAAAGTTAATGTCAGGTCAGCTGTATTTTCACAGGATTAGTTAAACAACACTAACTAGGTGAGGATTTGTTGCATTTTCTACTGGTATTCTATTTGATTTAGAAAACGAAATGATTGAATGAGACTGTGAGACATTAATCTCTAAAAAACTTGTTCATGTGATACATTCTAAAAAGGAGGACAGTAAAATTTAGTCTGTTAGAAAATTTAGTCTGTTATCTCATAGTAACCTATAGATTTTTGTCCTTTTGAGCCTGAAAAACAGGGAAACAAAGACACTACAAACTCCTGGATGGTGTTCCAATTTCATAAATAGGAAATAATTCCCATCTTAAAATTAAAGTTTAAATCCCATATAAAGGAATTTAATTTGGGATTATAGTGAAATATACTTGGGTTTCAGGGAAAAGTAATTAAATAATTATCTGTATGATCACAGCAATAAGTATTTTAACCATGCAGGAGACAGTTTTCATTATTGCTATTCAGGAGACAGACCATATTTATCAAAGCAAAATAATGTTAACCAAAGATTCTCAACAATATGGTCTAGACAAGAAGAAATGCAGAGTAAAAAAATTAAAGTATTAAAAAGTATTAATCCTGAGTAGTGTACTTCATTGATAAATTTCTAAGGAAATATAGGGCTTAACCAACTGAGAAACCAACTTTTTTTTAAGTGTTACTGTCTCTATTGCTGTCTTAGAAGAAAAGAAATCTGAAAGTAAATGCTGAAAGCTTTGTTGAAATATATTACTATTGAACATGGGCAGATTCTTGGGAACTCTCATGTTTCATCTTTACCAAGATTTTTGCTACATGAAAAAACAGCAGCATGCTCAAGTCTCAGAATTTGTCATTCACTGTATTGTTACAGGCATTCTGTCAAGATTAGGGTTTATTTATATGGGTCTTGGAAAATGAAAGATGACATATATAAAAAAAAAGTATTTTATAAATGACTTTGATATATTTCAATATGTTATATGGTGTTTTTTTGACTCTAAAACACACCCAAAACAGGTTATGTTTTTCTGAATTATTCACTCCATGCCAGAGACAGTTACTACTGCCTGGTTCTTCAGATACTTTGCTTCTAGGTATGTTAACAGACAACCAAGTAACAACATCAATTTAAAAATTACATGTTTTGATACTGCATTTATTTCTAGATCTGCATCCCAACTGCAATAAATTTTAAGAAACATCAAGAGAATGTCTATTTTCTTGAGGATTTCAAGTTCCCTGAATCAGCTTTACTCTTTTTTCCTCCTTGGTCTGATGCTGTACTATGGGCTACCAGGCAGTTAGTGTTTCAAAAACTGAGTTATCCTTCAGTTGCATAAAACACTTTTAATTACAAATTTGTCCCAAAGTAAAATTGCCATATTCTTAAAAGTGTAATATGATAACTATGTTCCTTAAAAAATTATTCACTCTTGTGTAAACTACCAGGAACATTGCTATTTTAAGTACTGACCTAGAAGTTCATAAAGAGAAAAGGGGATTTCATAAAAGGCACAAAAATAGGTCCTACAGTAATAAGAGTGAAGTGTTGAAGAAGTAACCAGTAAAACTTTCAATGCATTTCCAGACACTTAGCTGTTCTACCTCAAGAATAGGACTCCAAGTGAGAACTGATGAGCTCATGAACACCATCCCATTTCTTGAAACTGTTGCTGGAGAAGCATTATCAATATTATGAGGCTCAAAGACTATTTTGCAATTTGGCGCCATAGGTATCCGATCACCGTTAGCTAGTGTTAGAGTCCTGTTGTCATCCAGGACAGAATTAAGGTTCTCAATCCAAATAGCATCAACTGGACCATCAAGAACTATCCAGATATGGTCACCTATAATGCAACATAACAGACAAAAAGACCTATAGATGAAGTGCTAGTTTCTTTCAAGGACCAGATTTCTTACTTCTGAAAACAAATTTTCAACTAATTCTGAATTCATGCACACAGCTGCCATCTCAGCTTTTAATACAACTACCATTTCCATCACTCAGTTTCAGTTGGGTACTTCATTTTGTCACCTATTCATAATAATTATCCATTCTTCAGTATATAAAGTGCCATCAGCATAAGTCACCAGTTTTTATTACTCTGAAAATGTTTTATGGATTCAGTTTTCAAGACAGTAATAAATTAGGTTTATTTCAAGTTACATGAAACAACATGAAGATAACGACTACAGATATATTTGAACACCATTCATTTGTTTTCAATGAGTTTTATAAATGTAGAGAAATTAAATGAAAGGAAAACTTGAAAAATCACTCTTTCAAAGAGCATGCACACTGTCGTAAGTAAAAGATGCCCATTAGGGGATGATTCTTGTCATTTGTTCTGTCCCTAAACTTGACCCATCTTCCTTTTAAGTTTTTCCATTGCTTTCCATTTACTAATAGAAACGTATTTTAAAGCCTGCCTCTGTTTCCTAGGAGAGTCTCGGTCTGTTTTGCTTGCCTTGCTTGGGTACAGAACAACAGACCCTGGCTGGAAAGAGACCCCACCTTGTCTCCTGGCTGCCCACCCCTTAGGGAGCAGATTGCCCCACTGTGCATTGCTAGACATCTCTTTAGCCAGAGAGTGTCTTTCTGCCTTCAGAGTCAGTGTTTATTATGAAGGCCTAGGTGGCTTGGAGCTTTGCTAGCATTGTACCAAGGAGATATGGAACAGATGATAAACTTTTTATATGAGGGTTTTAATAGCTACAGTTCAGGCATCTCAAGCATGAGATAGTCTGGAGTCTGACTCATAAAGAGATATTAAAGAACTCTTACAGAGTAAATCTGAGGAAGTTATATGAGTGTGCTAATATGTATTTCATCTTGAAGGAAAAGATAAAAAAAATCAATAGTTAATGCTATGTTACATTCTCTAGGGTGTTATATTTCTAGATTTGAAACACACCTACCAAAATTCAATTGAAAAGCATTTTCTACTTTAAAAGCATCTAGTTCTGGAGACTAAGAATTTTTGTATGAAAGTGGTGGAACTAGTGTTAGGATTTTCTTTTGTTTTTTTTCTTCTGAGGCATAATTATAAGATTGCATACTAATTTTCAGACAAAAAAAGGAAGAAACCATTAACATCAAACTATCAAGGGCACTCATTTAGTTAAAATAGCAGTCTAAGAATATATGTCAGCATAATCTTAGGCAGATATTGGCTGCCTAAACAGAATTATATAGTGCCATTTGAGATGGATTATGTATGACACAACTGATAAGATTTATTTTATTTTAATATGGCAGCTGGAGAACAGGTAGAAATCCTGACAGCATCAGAATTTTTATGCGACACCACTACTGGGGCAACTGACTTTTACCTTCCACTTTCCTTCCACATGAGGGCCTAATATACAAAAGAGAGAATTCAGTAAATGCAGTGAAGTAGTATTTCTTACACTACACTGTTTGAACATAAAGAATTTAGAATAGAGACTGTAAAAGGGAGAGATGTTCTTGCAGCAATTTTCCAATGCTTCCATGTAAGAAAAAAAAAAAACTGTTACTGTGCTTTATAAAGTTTTCCCAAAGCTTTTTTTTTTTTCTCAGGTTTTTTCTTGTTTTATTTTGAATGGAAGCCTTTTTCATTATACATGTATGTGGTCTGGCTGACCTGGAGTTCCTTTCCCCATAGCAGCCCTAAACAGTGCTGTGCTCTGTATTGGTGGCTGGAAAGGTGTTGATAACACACCAGAGTTTTGGGTACTGCTGAGCATCACTGGCACAGCATCAGCTCCCTCTCACTATTCCCAACATCAAGGGGTTGGGGGTGAGCAAGATCTTGGGAGGGAACACAACCAGGTCAGCTGACCCAAAATATCCAGAGGGACGTTTCATGCCATATGACATCTATTCAGATATAAAAGCTAAGGAAAGGAGGAGAGTGGAGCTTCTGTTGTTTACAATGTTTGTGTTCTGGAGCAACCTCTATGTGTGCTGAAGCTCAGCTTCCTGGGAAGTGGCTGAACTTTGCTTGCTGATGGAAAGTTGAGAACAATCCTTTTTTTTCTCTTTGCTTGTGCTTATGCAAATTTTTTGCTTTTCCTTTAGTAAACTGCCTTATCTCAATCTATGAGTTGTTTTCCATTTATCTTCTCTACCCTGCCCAACTGGGCAAACGAGTTGTAGTGCAACTTCATGGGCACCTGGAGACAAGTCAAGGTCAACCACAATAACTTTCTTTGCTCTTAAAGTTTTTCTCCAAAACGCTGAAAATATTCCATCTGTCCAAACATTTGTTGCCACATCAAGGCGTCCAAACATTTGGAGAGCAGTTATAGCTTTAGGATTCATTCTCATTTCACAATGTAGCTGTCCACAATCTATGAAGCCAGACCATCAGTTAGTTTTTACATTTCTTTTCAGCAGTAAAAGAACTTAGACAAACTTAAACTCATTACACCCAAATGTATGCTTCAATATGCATTCATGATTATAAGAACTTGTGTATTTACTTGAAAAACTTCTCTTGCTATACAAAATTCATTAACAGGAAAAAAAAAGCAAAATGAAGTTCTGAAACTTTTGAATATTCAATTCACATTTCATAGCTTTATGGGGAAAAGAAAAGCAGCAAGATGAAATTTATTCAAGATTTAGTTTAATATTTTGAAGACTTATCAAACAGTAGAACTTTAAAACATTTGGTTTGGATGCACATTTTTAAAACCCAATGAATAATACCAGACAGATGATTGATTATTTTACCCTTCTGTGCACTTGCCCACATCTTAGAACAGGCAAAATATACAATATTGGCATATCCTTGTGAATTCTCTTAGACAGACAAATTCTATCTAGGCATACCATGACCATATAACCTTTATTTTTTATCTCATTAGCAACAGCTTAAAAATTACTATGTTGGACATCTTTTAAAAAACCCAATATTCAAATGTAACCAGGAGCCAATAATAAGATAGTGAAAGAAAGAGCTGAAAAAATAACTTATTTTAAAATAACTTTGTTATAATCAGATTTCACTAACATGTAAGATAGAAGCCTGACAGATCAGTTTAACATTCCATGAGGTTGTGTGAGAAGATCAGCTTTGAAAAAAGTAGTGAGATGACTTTATCTTGGTAGTAGTTCACGTCTCAATGCTAGAAAAAAACATATGGGAAAACTGTGCAATGCAACTTTGTTCTTTCTGCTTTTTTCCCTAAATGGAACAGTCATTTCCACTGCAATGTAAAGTTTACAGTGTTTCTTAAGCATAGCACATTACTGCATGTATGAGACTTGCCAAACTATTTTTGAACTATTTTTTACAGAAAAAATCATATAAGCAACTTCTGGAAAATCATATAAGCAACTTGTGAAATGGGGTAACACAAGCTTACCTCAAAAGAGATGTTTTTCTCCCTAAGCTATGGCCTTTTATTTTAATAAGATCAAGCAGATATTCTTCAACTAATATTTTTGTTTAGAAATGCAGATGACAAAAAAAAAAACAAATAGAGTCTTCAAGCCCCCAGCAAGGACACAAAATTAATACCTTTGAAGACTTTTTCACTGTCTAAACCAGGAATTTATGGTTATAAAACCAGTTATTTTATATTGCAAAACCCCTGTCTTACGCATTGTGTGATTAGCAAAAGGTTCCAGGATTACTTTAGCAAAATGCAGGAGATGCTTTAATCACTTGTCTGTGCTGCCTGCTTAGGCTGTATTCCTCTTAATCCATCTAGAATAAGAATTTCTTATAAAAGTATGATAATGTGGAAAAAAGGATATGAAACATACAGTTTTGAGCATCAGACATTTTTAAGCTACTGGAATAATTAGTATCTGAACATACAAACTCCTTCTTCCAGTAATATATTCTCAGAATGAAGCAATTGTTTTCTGAGAAGAAACAATGGGGCTTAAAGTTTACAGTGTAACAGTTCAGTAACAGTGTACAATATAAAGTAATAACATACCTGTCATTGCTTTCATTAAGGTGTGGATGCAGGTAGTTTTTCCTGCACCACTAGGTCCTAGTGTCATCAATCCATGCCTTACTCTCTGGGTTTCAAAAAGCTGGATAACTTTCAGTTTCCAAGGAGGATGACAAACAAGGCCAGATTCCTCCACCTTAGAGACAGTGACATGAAACCAAACTACTATTATTTTAGAGCACAAAATATATTTTGATGTCGTTAGATATCGATAGATAAATAGAGATGGATATAGATATGTCATCAACAGATTACTACACTCTTTGTAAAGGCTTTTTGTATATGTAAAAAAAAAACCTGTTGGAAAAACGAGATATATTTGGCATTCAAATACACATTCAGAAAAATAACGTAAACCAGCCTCTATATATATATATATACATATAATCTATGTACTTATAATCTATCTGTTAGATATATCTATAATGTATCTATAATATATATACACGTTGTATTCTTAAGGTGGCCCTACTGATTGGGAAATTAAATAAAAGAGATGTAACTTTAAGGAAAACTTTTCTCAAATTAATATCCTAATTGCTAGGACTTTAGATAAATATTAAATTCTGGGTCACATAACGTAAAGTCATATACATGCATTTTTCAAATTCAGTAACTATGACTCAAGAAAACCACGGGATACTATAATCCCAATTCATTGACCTCCTCAAGAATAAGCTTAGTAATACTATGTGGTAAAGATTTATGGAAAAGCTTAAATAGTAAAATATAATATTGCCAGCTAGATAGACTTCATAAGAAGAATTTTCATAGATGTCACCTCATGACAGTTATACCAGAGCACCATAAATCATGAGAAATATCACCTGTTTGTCAATGGCTGCTTCAAGTTCAGGATAGCCTGCTTTATCAAGCTGGATATCTGGAAACAGATCATCAATTAAACTCAGAAATAAGGGTTCGTCTTCATCAATCTAGAGAAAATCAGCGAAAACAAAAATCCACACAGATTAAAACCTATTCTGTTTATTTTATCAACTTTAGAAAGAACAATCCCTAAGTCCTGAAGACCTAAAGAAATTCTTGAGAACATAAGGAACCACCTATAATAATCCTCTAGGTGCTAAACATTAGAAGGACACAGCAGAAAGACATGCTTCTATTTGTCAAAATAAACCACTAACATGCAGACTTAATTTCTTATAGTAGATTTTAGCAATAGCATTTTAAAAATTGTCTATTTTATTTGGTGTAAAAAAAAAAAGATGAAGTATCACAGAAACAGAAGAGGGTTGTTAGCTATTTAGACAGGTGAAATGGTACTCATTACTACAAATAACAGATTCTTTAAAGAATTACTAAATACTTAAGCACAAAGTTTCTAAAGAAGTTTCTTCATAGACATCTATTTTATTACTGTCTTCTAAACGTAGCAGGGAAAATATGCAAAAAATAATTCTGAACAGTTCAAGGTTAAACCCAGGTAGAAACTTAAGCAACAGAAAGCTCACTCCCTCCTCAGTCCCTCACAGGGTACTATGAGAAATTCATCTCCATCCCAGCCAAAATGTTCCACTCAGAGAATGAAACATTTCCAAGCTAGCTTCAGTGTAAAGGTGACATACCATCTTCTAGTGATCACATAGCTCTAAAATGCAGTTTAAATTATTTATCAGGTCCTCAGAACTTACTAGTTTAGACAGGTTCATATCTCTCAGAACACGCATGACAATGGTAGATTCAGTATCTGTAGGATTTGCTCTTTTTGCTGCTCCCAGTGTACGCAGCACAGACAATATATTCCGCAAGCCAAAATCATAATGCACCTAGAAGATATGTGAAGTTTGGGAAGATTTCCCCCAAGTTAACAGAGATGAAACAGTTCTTATTTATATTTAAGACATGGATGGATATGTAGGAGAAGTGGTACACATGTTTCAACTGCCTCCAAATATCCGTCAACTATTTTTTTGGCTGTATGACTATGGGATACTTCACTGTCCAAATCTGCTACCATCTATTAAAACTAAGGTGTGACAGAAAAAAATTTAATCATAAGTCATTGAATCAAGACAGTGTTCCCAAGGACTATTGAGAAATACTTTATCAGTATTATTTTGAATTCTCTGTGGCCCTTGGAAGCCGAGAAATATCTGAACAAGCACAGGCAGTACAAACCAAATGCCTCTTAACACACTCTGTAAGACCAACAAAGGCTACAATAAAGCCTTTATTTGTCTCAGCCATCGCCATTCATTAAAGCTAAATCTTAATAATAAGCAGTGTTCTGCATGAACGCCCCATCCTTTCACCGACAACCTACAGCAGGAGTTAATCCTCCAGGATAGCAGAGGGCTGCAATACTAAAGTGCAAGTGTTTCTTAGTTTATTTAGTGAACATGAACCTTTCCTTATTCTTCACATGAATATTTTGTGACTTCACAGATAGTTTTTCCCTAAAATAATCAGGTTGCATCATATGAATATAATCACCTGCTTGGACAGCTGTTCTTCACACAACTTGTACAGTGTAAAGAATTTCCTTGCCAACACAACATTAGCAATGAAACCACAACTAGCCAATTTAACACGAATTATGATCTGACGATCAGGAACCATCATAGCCACTGAACGGAAATTGATCTTCAAGTTTTCAGGAAGTTCTTGCCGCCCAGCATATCCTGGATTCTGGAAAGGAAAAACAGGTGTTGAAGTTGAGTGTACCTTGCACAAACAGAAGAATCAGCAAAGGAATATGCCATCTTGGTAGGTAAAAATAATTTGTTGGCTTTAAGTCACATGTCAAAATTAATTCCCATGCAAACTTACCACCATATCTCTACATAATTTTCCCCTCTATTATAACAATGAGATATGAAAAATGTCCCACCTAAGCATTTCTAATCTGATCTTTTTTTTAGGTCCTATTTCTACTAGCTACTCCTACCTATATCTCTATAGCAATTTTTCTGTAATTGTAGAAAAAGGCATACTTTGGGAGCCAGAATTTGCCATATAGAAGCAATCTGAAATTGAGATAACTTGTATTTATGGTGCTGCCTGCATTTGTTAGTTGCATGTGCTTGACATTATCGAAACAAGATCCTGTAAACTGTGTTTGTGGCAATGCTCAATGTTCTCAAACTATCAGTGAGTCAGTTCTAAGAACTGAATGACATATGAGTTAGAAAGCACCATGTTAGACTTGATTATTGTACAATCATCACTGGTATATTAGAAACTTACTGAATACTTACCATAGTAAGAAAGATGCCAAATTCTGGGTTCATTTCTACATTGTCTCCATCAGTAAAAATAAACCTTTTTTTGCGTTTCTTCTTACATGTCAACACAATTGCTATTTGTTGTGCAGCTACTGATAGCACTGATAAATCAATACGATTGAATTCATCAAAGCAACCCCAGGAGCCAGATTGAGCAAGACCTTCAAAGAGAAAAGCAACTAAGCATACAATCACTGTTTTTTGGTAAGTGTTTATTTTTGAGGGTTGGGAAAGGAACAAAGAAAAGAATTTTAATTTATTTTCAAGTAAGAAAATACAAATTCACAAAATCCTTAAGATTTTCTAGGATACTATGTTCTTTGATTTCTTCTCTTTTTCTTCTTCTATCATGAATGTTTTCCTGTTCCTCTTTACCTCCCAAAAAAATTCTTGCAGTAACTGAATGAAAATGGGACAGGTTGTCAACAGCTTATTGTATATATTAAAATGAACAATACAGTTGCATAAAGATGCGGGTGGTCAGTCTAAGCTGGAGGTGTATTTTTCCGTGGATTTTTTGGAGAAAAAAAACCCAAAACCATAGATACATTCACTTGCAACAATACAATAGTCAAGAACTTCCATTTTGTCTCTAATTTTGACATCTGCCATGGCTGACAGGTATAAACTTCAGATACCTAAAAAATGTCATCTGCAAATAATTTCAGTGAGCTCTGCCAATTGTTTTTAACATATCTAGAACTACCCATGCATTTCCTTCTACTGATATAACCTTCAATATTTGATTGAGACAAAATACTGAAATTAAAATTCAGTGTGTCCCACCAGTTCAGTTTCCAATAAATTTCATAGCATTTTCTCTTCATAGCAACAGTTCTCCTTGTGACTTTAAGTCATTTTAAATGACTTTATTTATCCTTTCATAAACTGTGTCATGTTTTCATAGCATTTCTATTTACTGAAGACTGTTGCAACTGTATTTTATACACATAAAAAGGCATTAATTACTTGCATTTATTAAAAACATGAAACCATGTGCTAGTTATGTCTCAACCTTGTTTCATGGAGATGCCCACTTATTTGAAACTTTCACATAGTTCATAAAATCATATCTCAGGGCATAAAGGACTGACATATAAAGGACTCACAAGGATCAACAAGTAGAACTCCTGGCTCCACAAATGTGTATTTAAAAGTTAAACCAAATATATAAGATAATTGTCTAAGCACCATTTGGACAGTAAAAGGCTTGAGACCCCAAAGGCTTCCTTGGAGAGTTTGTTCCAGTGCTTGACCACACTTCTCCATGAATACCTAGCTTGAATTTCACCCCATGCAGTTCAAGCCGTTCCCCCATATCCTTTTATCAGACACCAGAGAGATCAGCACCTCCATCTCCACTGCCCCTCATGAGGAAGTTATAAACAGCAGTGAGGGTACCCCTCAGTCTCTCAGAGCAAAACAAACATAGTATATTCAGCTGTTCCTCTTATGTCCTCTAGCTCTTTCACCATCTTTTTTGCTGTCATTTGGATATATTCTAATATTTTTATATATTGTTGTATTGTTGATTCCAGAACTGCAGAGTACTTAAGATGAGGCCACCTAGGCTAAGTACCATGGAACAACTACTTTCTCTATCCAGTTTGTTATACTGTGCTTTATGCACCCCAGAAAATAATTGACTGGCCAACAGCTTACCTTTGGTACACATCTTACCTTTGAAGATCCTCCCAAGTCCTCGGAAATCCATCTGGTCTGAACAGTTGAAGACCACTACATATTTTCCAAGGCACCTTCCCATATCTTTCACAGTTTCAGTTTTTCCTGTTCCTGCAGGTCCCACAGGTGCTCCACCCATGTTCATGCCCAAAGCTTGAGCCAAAGTGATGTAACATCTAAAAGGCAACAATCAATAGATTTCTGTACAGTGCTAGAGGAACTTGCACAAGGTCTGATTTAAGGAGAAAAGGGAAGTGCTGAAATTATATTCCACTAATTATAATTTATATCAGTAAGGACAAAACCCCTTCACTTCATCTCTGATGCAGTGAATATATATTAAGGTTCATTTCATCATACATAAAGTGAGAGAACAGATAATCCTCAATTATCAGCAATCTGTAAGATCACAAGAAGGGAAGAAAGCAGATACAGAAATGCTGCCTAATCTTAGTTTTAATAGCTTGGATACTGAGTTATTTTCTCTGGAGTAGCTTTGAAACACATTATTCTGTGGAGTACAATAATGAAAGATGTCTAACCTTTCCTTTCTCGTCCGTCTTCGAAATTTGATCACACAGTGCATCCCATTTTCATAAATGAAACATCAATGCATAATTCAGGAAAACACCAGCTAATAATTATATATATCAAGACTAGCTCTAGATTTTTTTTGTATGGAATAGTTAAAAAAAATAGACTACAGTCAACCAAACAATGCCTTTATTTTTGCCAATGATAGGTTATAAAGTATTCTTTGTGCTATTTGAGTTAGACAGGTATATCTCTCTGATAATAGGATTGCAATTCTTTCAACATCCTTTTAGATCAAAGCTCTCCAAACTACTGTAACTGAATAAAAATTGCTTTTCCTGTCTGTTCTTTCTTTTGCTTTTCCTGTCTGTTCTTTCTTAGCTCTTTTCATTAGCTTGTCTGTAAACACCTACTTTTGTCTTATATCTCTACATATTTTATCTGTTGGATATATCAGATCCTCAGGTATGTTGGCTTCATGTACATAAGAATGCAAGTCACTTACATCATGAAAGTAGAGACCAGTGCAAGTATGTGGGAGAAAATTATTCACATTATAGGGCACAGAAACAAAAATATTCAAGCATTCCATATCAAAGTACTGACTTTGACAAGACTGTGAAGGATAAACTGCAGAGATCAATGTTGCATCCAACAGGAATGACAAAATTGCTCTTGTAAAAGCTGAGGTTTGGCAGCAAAGATTAAAGGAATAAAATTAGTCTTTTTCACCTGTCTGTAAGAGGTGTTATGACAAGCCTGTCAGTACAGCCCAAGAATTCATTCTGGTATGTAAAGCTCACATCAGTGATCTTAACCACCATTTTATCAGAGTCTTCATTAAAATAAAATCTACATTGTTTCAGCCATTCAAAGTCCGTAGGGCTCTTGATATGCATGCAGCACTAAGAAAAGAGGGAAGACAAGGCTGTGGCATTCATCGTTCACATTTACTTTCAAATTTATATTGTACCATCTAAGCAGTAAATTCAAAGGTAGCACTGCAAACATAGTGAAATATAGTGGATAGTGGTGAATCTATCTGGCTTTTTATCACAAAAATTGCTAATGTATTATTGTTCAATCGCATACTTGGGCGAGGAACTTCAGGTTTTAGATGAGTGTGACAAAATTCTAAATACAAATTAACAGTCCATAAGCCTCAAACAAGAGTCATTTCAGTTTAACCTTAAAATTGCCATTCCTTTTAGTCTTCTCTGCCACTTTTGCATGAGTCAGAAGTACATAATGTGATATTTGTAACTGCTATGACAACTGCATGAAACCACATGCATATTGGGAAAAAAGATATTTCCTGCAGTGTCATGGTGCTGATAGTATGTAAGGAATTCAACAGAACTGAGAATAAGTCACAGTTGCTCTATTGAATATTAAAATAGGATTTAAAAAAATAATTTAATTTGTATCTAAAAATTACACTTTACATAAAATTATTATACTGGAAATAAATGATTCTACAATTAAAAGATAAATGCTGCCTATTAATAATGGGCCAAAAGTCACTAATTCTTTACTTGGACAGCTTAATTTCAGAATCAGGTCCAGAACTTCCTATAGGTAAAAGGGTATGTTAGCTTTAGTTTTATTAAGCTAAATGCTTTCATTTTCCTTATTTTAGCATCCTGTGTCAGCATGAGAAGGTGCAAATGAATAAAGAAATCCCTGGGTAATAATTAGGTATGCTATTGAAAGTAGAACAGAGAGAATACCAGCTTCAACCTTTTTCCTGTACTATAACTCTATTCATTTTATTTATTTGCAGAAATTCATTATGCAGTCCAGAAAAAAGAAAATTACTTGCAACAAAATGTATGAGGAAAAAGAAGTCCCTAACTGATCATGCTACAGAGACTCTATTAACTTTAGTGGACCAACATGAAACATGACAAAATTCTGCTACTGCTTCGGGAGAGGAAAAGCCACTGAATTACTTAAAAGGAAATTAAGATTTGGTTGAAGCAGCACCAGCACTTTTATTCCAGGACACATAATCATTACAGTAATGAAATTAAATGTTTATCTTATGAGGCCAGAGATCATAGGTATCATAATATTTTCTTATCATTTCACATTATGTAATGTGAAAAACCCCTCATAATTCATTGTTAGTTTTTTAATACTTACAAGACCATCAAAAATGTCCCTCTGATGCACATGAATAGTGATTAATGTCTCATATTTAACTCGCTCAAATGGACTAAGATCTTTTGTTGCCATATCTATCAACATGTTCAGAAGATCCAGGAAAAACTGGTTTGTCTTACGCATAACTTTTTTATCCTGCTTGGCAAGAGTCAAAGCTTCTTCTGAGTCTCTTGTCCAAATCATTTGGATCCCCAATAACCCAACCTTAGGAAACACAGAAGTATATGCATCATAATTGTTTCTCTTTCACCTAAAATGTACATTCACAGACACAGAAAAACTAAAGCAATTTTTCTCCTACTATATGTATAAAATTACTTTCTATGCATTCATACAGAGTTCATGTTTTGTGTGTCCCAACTGCATTCATAAACACAGTTAAACCTGTACTTCAGTCTCATAGATACTGCCTACAGTGCATTGCTTATACAACTGCTCAATATAATTTACAGCATATATAAAAATACTATATGCAACAAATATACTTTATATAAGTAATAACTAGCCAGTGAATAATTAGTGCTTCAATTTGAAATATTTTTGTAGTAATTCAGAAAGCCTTTATTCCATCTCCAACAACATTCCTGATCACAAGTGAAGCTTCTACTAAAAATTAATTTTCCCTCAATACTATGCTCAGTTTCAAGTCTTTAGCAATACATAGCATCCTGAATATATGAACAAACATACAATTTTACTACTTTTCCTCCAGTAGTCAAGTATTAAGCTTGTAAAGAAATAGTGTTAATTTCATTACATTAATTCATTGCATTCAGCATCTTTTTAAACAGGAACTTAAGGGTAAGTTGTTTTGGCTTCAGCTATGTGAAGCTGAAACTTAAAAGACTGAGAAGATTCAAATAAAATTAGATGCTAGTTCTGTATTTAACACTGGCTGCAACTTTGAATGAAAAGACAAGAAAAAAACTTGATACATATATGAGAATAATTCTTCATTTGTTTAACAATGATATTACCTGGGCTGGATAAGTAGAAAGAAATTCAGTAATCTCAAAACTTGTTTCCTGGATGTCCATAGCTGCTTGGCGAATAACTTGATGAAGGGATAGCTGGGATTCCTTCAACAGAGAACTGAGCCATACTTCCACATTACCTTCAGCCATTACAGGTCTAGTCAGCTCTACAGTCTCACCCTCTCGTGAACTGAATGACAATATACGATCATATATCTAATAAAAGAAAAAAATATCTTGTGGTTTTAGATATATTATTTTTCTTTACAATACCTCATATTTTCCTGCAATCACTCCATTACACTGATTTAAGTAACTAATAAATTATATCAACTCATTCAATGAAATGTAAAGACTATTAAATCATTATTTTGCTATGCAGAAAAGCTTTAAACAAAACACTGCCATGAACAAGGAGACAAAACCTAATATATTGACAATTCCTGAATCTCACTAAAGTTTCAATGGCAATCCTGTCCCATGCGCTCTAGAATGACCCTGTTTGAGCAGGTAGGCAGGAGCAGACTACTCACTGTGGTCCCTTTGAACCTGTCCCATTTTGTGATTCTGTAACATCCACTTTCCAGCCACAATAAAGGAAACCTTGCCCCATTATTGGTGGGTTAGCAGCCTAACAAAATTTACAACTTTAGAATCAAAACTAATGAAAGGAGAAAAGTTAAGGAACATGGAATATCAGAGGAATTTCAAAAGTTTGGGGAGGGAATTATTTTCTAAGAAAATGCATACATAAGGAGAAAATATTGCTATCTGTTCTTGTAAAAGGTATAAGAAAAGTGTTCTTCAAACATTGTGTGTGAAGGTATAGTAAGGGCAGGTCAGAAACAGGAGAGACAGTATATACACTTTTTCTTAAAATCAAAACATGAATGGAAAAATACAAATACAGGCAATGTAAAGATACAAATAAGCTCATAAAGACTAAAAAGTTTATTTGAGAGGAAGCCACAGAAAAAAAGTTCAGTACATGGATGGATTTTTCTGAAATTTAAGCACTGTTGTAAATTTTTGTTTTGCTATTCTACATGAAGTTTTACTACATCATAAATGAGGATATTAAAAAAATCTTAAATGAAGAAAGCCTACTCAGCATCAAATAGTTACTGAATAAAGTAAAACAGCTGAATGCCTTATGCAACTGAGTAGCTCTCTAATTTAGCAAGTATCAGACGTTGTTAATGTGAAGAAATGTAACATTGAGGTGTGGGCAGTACATACCCTTTCATGGAACTTGACGTTTTTAATGTTGTCAAACACATTCAGCAGATGTGCCTGGATATTGTGAGAGTTGGATGCCTGACCAAGAATTTCTAAGAGAGCAGGATCTGACACAAAGAAGAATCGTGGAAATAGCAGGCGCTTTTTCTCCAGGTACCTGTATTTTTAAAAAAATTGGTAGAGAAGCCAGGAAGGAGTAGATGGTAAGTGATATGGGTTAATTTATACATCCTCTACCCTTTAAAAGTGGTATTTCTCACAATTTCTTATACCATTTTTAGCTGTAGCAATGATAATTTTCATCCATCATACAGTCATGTTAAGCATCTGCTTTAAAGCTACTGTTTTAGCATCAGAAATCATTTTATGGAAAACTTTTATTATTTGCTGTAATCTAAACACCAGTAAAAAGAAAATAAACTAAACTGAAATAAAATATTTCTACATTGACTCTTTTACTTGCTCTTTACATCTCTCAAGCTGAAGGTCTCCCAGATCTATGAAAGGTATGAATGGGAGACAGAAATCTAGACTGCCTTCTGGATTGAAACTAGGCTGAAACCAGGTTTGGTTTCAACAAAGACAATGAGTGACACCTTAGCCACAAATCAAATACTTATCCATGAGTTAGTTTCTTTGGAGATGTTGTATTACCCTGCTAAATTGTTTGCTCAGTTCAACTGCATTCATAGTAGAATAAGAACATGATATTTTCAAAGTTCATGGGACAGTACTTGAGCAATTGCTTTTTCCCCAGTTACATAATGCACAACCATCTGACCAAGAACGTGGTTTCATGGTAATCTTACCCTGTGAGTGATTTCTGACAGATTTCAAGCTGTTGCAGTAAATGTGGCAATAACTGTCCCATTATCTCATCTCCAACACAGCACTGAACAACATTAGGTGTTTCATGAGCTCGGGTCATGATTCTCACCCAGGATTTATCAATGTTAGAGAAACACTTTGCTTCCTGTTGAAACATGACAGTGAATATAGAATGAAAGAAAGGGAAGAAGGAAAAGAGAAGAGGGAAAAGGCACCTGCTTGCAGAACCAGCACCCAGCAATCTCAACAGTAATCAACTCACTAGTAATCATGTCTTTTAGAAATACTTCAGCTTAGACACAATTATTTCTGCTTACACAACAGAGCTTATTTTATACTTGGCTGTCAAGCCTACTATGTACTTTCTCTTACATTTCTAGAGAAAAAGACAGAAAACTCATTATATTTGAATTGAAGCTTCCAATCTGAAGAATTTTTTTTTTCTAAAACTAAAGTTAATTTTTAATTTGAAAAATCATGCAGAAATTTTAAGATAAGAATTCCTAGATACTACTATGCTAGCAGTAAGTATTACTACACAAGGCTACTACTAGGCACAATGTTTTAATACATATTAGCTAACAGCTTTACAATCTAAAATCAAAAGATCAAACAGATCATATGATGTTATTATTCTTTCTCACACACTGGCACTGCTTACTAATTTCCTAGCAAGACCAGTTTTGTTAAATATTAAAGAAAATAAATTTATGTTACTTCATCAATTATGACATCACAGTTAAGTTTTATTCTTAAAACGTTGATAAGCAAACTGAAAAAAGGCATGTCTAAAAACCTTTGGAAGCTGTCTTGCTATATCACCACCAATAAAAACAGCTTCTAAATAAATCCACAAGTTCTGCACAGTCAGCCAGTTCTCAATTATATACGTTGTGTTGGAAAGACAGTGCACCCATTTCTGAATCTGTGTCTTGAATGGTGTATTGTATCTACAATGAAAAAAAAAAAAAGAGACATTTCTTTATTTCAAGAAGAAAACAAGACTCTTGAAAAGCAGCATATAAGTCACAGGATGAGGACTAGTTTTTATGCTTAAAATTTTTCAAGTGAAAGTATAGAAACTTAATTCAGCTTGTTGGCAGATCTAAATCCAATCAGTTCCAACTTGCTGCTGTGTACACAAGGTGTATAGCACAGCTCTGATCCAACAGAAGAGGGATGGGAGCAAGACTTCAATTTCACTCCAAGGTAAAGGGACTACTCAACATCTTGAAAGCTGTAAACTCACAGAGTTCCTGAACTCTCCTTAAACCCGTGCTTTTGAGCATCTGCCTGATGATCAGGTTCTGTGTTCCCTATTTATCTGTGTCTTTTGGCATGTGAAATCAGATAAACTTAAGTCCACTTTAATTGGGACTTTCAGCACCTTTGCCACGAGGCAATGACCTATCGCAGGGGCAGAGTAGCAGTGCCTGTCATGACCATAGCATGCCTGCCATAGCCAGGCAGTGTTCTCTCTTATGTCCCCACTTTCTTGCAGCAATGAAAACTTTTCAGCTGTTTATTCAAAAAATCAGAGCTGCAGCAACATGTTTTCAAAATAACTTATTGAGGGCATAAATGAGATACAGTAAGAACTAACCCATGAACAAGGACAAGCAAGCTCTTAAGTTTTATCTAGATGTTTCTTTACCTTCTTATCTGTGATAGATTTGTTCACTAAAACAAAGCCTTTTGCTAATATTTTTATCTCTCCCTCCATTCCCTCCCTCCCTTTCCTGTTACCTGTTATTCATGAGAGAACCAAGAATCATCAAGCTGTCCTCCAGCGCAGCAATCGTTTCTGATGTGCTGTCACCTCTTAAAAGAAGCTCCCCACGAGTTTTAAAGTTTGCAAAGACAAACATCTTGTTATCCCATTCAGCTATCACTTGTTTTAACTTCTGCTCGATGTCTCTCTCCTTCACAGCACTTAGGCAGATATCCTTTTAAATAAAGAGGATGTCAAAACAAGATATGAATCCTTCAAATGCCTGGTGTATGAATCTAGCTCTTATTTCCTTTAACACTAAGTAACATTAGGCTCAGGAGCAAGTATTTAGTGGAAAGGTCTACAGATATACAAATACCTTAGCTAATAATCTGTATACCACATCACAATTTAATCAACTGTGGGTGGGAATAAAATAATGACATAGTGAATACTTTTCGTAAGTTTAATGTCACAAAGCAAGGTACCCTCACAAATGGCATGACTTAAAAAAATAAGTTGACACCACAATATATTTGTGTCATAATTTTACAAAAATCTGAAGTGATAGTCCATTTCTCTGTCCTTTTTACAGAAATGTTCTGATTTCCTTCTTGCTACTGATACTCCTATACTATACAGATTGTTGGTTTCATGTTTCCATATTTCTTCCTTCACAATACCTCTATTTCCTCTTTATATCTTAGTAATGGAGCTTCCATTATATTCCTCAGTTTGAATGTTTCACTCTCCACATCAAATCTGTGTTCAGTGAGATCCATAATCTGGTTCCAGTGACGAGGCATCATTGCTTTACTTGACATGTTCTCAAGCAATGGGCAACAGTCACTGAAGTCCTCTATGGTCTTCAGTAGGTCAAGAAAAGGCTGCCATTCCTTTACAGCACAAGGGAGTTTACAGCACCTACATGGAGATAAAGCAAGCTTTTTCAAAGAGTTTAAAATATTCTTTCTTTAAAGTCACATTATATGGTTTTAACAGCAGAAAACATACCTTCCAAATTCAGTTTACCTTTAATTTGGAGTTTCTCTACATGCTTCTCCATGTGAGAAAATCTGTTTCCAGTTTATTTCAATAACTGATATCTAGGTAGGCACCTACAGCTTCCCCTTAAGGAGTGTAGCTGCATAATTTTAATAATTCTGTGCAAGCAATCTTCAAAATCAGTTGAATTGTTCTAATCTCAATTTCATCTTCTGGGGAGACTGATGATATGCATTGCTCTGAGCTCTAGAAAAAAACTCCTCCCCAGGGTTTACTTCTTTAGTTTTTTTTATTCCTGGTTTGAGGAAAAGTTCAGCTTCTATGTGTACAATGTAACACATTTTGTAAAAAAACTATTCATCAATTCACTAACTTGCCTTTGACATCTAGCAAAAAAAAAATATCTCTCATGTCTCTCATGAACAAAAATACTACAATAAAAAGGTGAAACTTTCCTTCATGGACAAAATAAATAAAAATTTTAACATATTATTTTAAAAGGTAGACAAGAATCTGTCTAAGGAATAATAATGCTCAGCTTTTTGAATCTAATTTTTTCTTGATTTTTATTACATTAGTAATGGATAAATTTTTCAATTTAAATTTACGTTTTTCATGCCTCACTAAATAAATACATGCTAATATATGATTATTTGTATATATATACACCAATTATATATATATGTATATATATATACATATATACATATATATATATATATATATATATATACACACACATATATATATATAACTAATTATAATCATAATCAATAAGTACTTTAGGCAGTTTTAACACACCATCAGTTTCTTACCTGTTCTGAAATTCCATAAGTTCACTATTAATTTTTTCAATGTCTAATTCCAACCAAAGAATATCATAGTAGCCACTGATTGTGTCAATGACACTGTTATATAGATTATAGAGTTTCTGCAACAGATTCAGCTGCTTCTTTATTTCAAGCAGGTGAGGACATCGAGTAACTGGCAAACCAAAAAGATCTTCTCCACCTGTACAGGTAATGTATTTCCGAAAGAGATTATCACATCGATTCTGAGAAAGAAAAAGAAAAACATTAAACAAAATAGCTAAATAATAATAAATAAATTAAAAGTTAATAAAAACTACTAAATATCCAAGAATCCAAAATTATTATTAAAGCTGAATTAGACTAAAATCTATGAAAGAATAGAAAGCTATAAAGAGATAGTAACAGCTTACACTGTCAACAGTTTTGTCAACAATTTTCTTGAGAAAAGTAACTTTTAGCTAGCTTGGAGGCACATCTCTGAAGCTGACAGGAAAACCATTTACTTCATGTGGCACAGTGCCAGAACAATAAATGCTAAGACTGCACTTGAAAGAGGTGAAGCATGACACACAAAGAAATAAAAGTTGGATACAGCAAATTCTACCTCTCCAAGTATGCTGTGCAAATCTTATTGACTATTGAAGAAAGAATTACTAGCATTAAAGCAGAAAAGAAAAACATAATTTAATTGACAATTGCAATATAACTCAGGGAACATAGTAGGAAGTAAATTGAATAGCAGTATGGGAAAAGCAGAAGCATTAAAAGTTGTTATTGTAGGAATAGATATTAATAATGATACAAAGACAGACTTCAACCAAAAAAAAAACAAACAAAAAAAAACACAGTAATGAACAAATTGTCTATAGCCAAATACACTAAACTTGTGGGAAGGTCTTTCTGTTAACTCCTAAAAAAATTGTATTTTAACAGAACTCCTTGCAAATGCATAGAAAAATTCCAACATAGCTTTCACTAAGACAAAACAGGCTTTGCCAAATCAGTAACCCTGTCTATCGATGAAAGTTCATTCAACTACTGAGATTCCTTCTCAGAGTCTTTATGTATTAGCTCATTTGTACTAAGTTGTGTGAGAATTAACAGCACCTGGAATATAGTAAGCCTGTCACTGGCTTCCTGAGGTGTTAAACCAAGCACCATTGGCCCATTCTAAAAGGAAAAAAAAAATAAATCAATAAATCAATTTAGAGGGTGAGAATAACCACAACTTATTTCTAATCAGCATTTTCCAAATGCTAACCTCAAACACTTTTGCAGCCTCCAGATCCCCTCCACAGATCAGATACCAAATGAACCAAAGGATGACAGTTAATCTACTAGAACGAACAATATTTTAAATAGATTTTAAAAATTCAAATAAGACAACTAATTGTATTTTTAATGCAGAAACTTTCAATTACACTACAAAATCTATGAAGTCGTAGCTCATTTTTTGAGTAAAAGTCAGCATTACTTAAAAGATGATGCAAGATTAGTTCACCTTCATTCATTCGAATGAAAAAGAATGTGAGAGCTTAAGTCACTTGTACATATATCAGAAAGAAAGAAGAGTTTTCTGATGCTAACATAATTTATCATTAATCCTAGTCTTCACATTTGTTCCTGATAACTAGATGCTTTCCAAAAACCTTAAACATCTCAATTCTTAATTTTTAGGAACTGATTACCACGTTACTTTCATCAGCCATATACAAAACATTAAACAAACCTGCCCTGAACTGAAACCCAAACACCATTTTAACAAGAATAAACCTATTCAACAGTCAAGGTCCATCCTATTAATTAGTCAAATCCAAAAACCTTTCCATGTTCCCATCTCTCCTTAAGAATTTCTCTAATAGAATAAAATAGAAACACATGCCTGATCATAATCTGAGTAGAACTGTGCACAGTCTTCAGTAAAATTCTTCACAGCACTAATAAGCTCTCCTCTGAAGTTCGGCTGCAAAGCAACAAGCTCATCCTGCACTTCATTTGCACGGATTAGCAGTTTTTCCCAAGTGTAGTGCAATGTGTCCACCTTCTCTGTCTCTTCCTTGGCAACAAGTAGATCATATTTGCTCAACATAGCATAGGATTCCTGCCAGAAATTTGGATCAAGATACATAAAATGGTAACTTCAATTAACTTTATAAACATATATGGAAAACATATTTAAAATGCTATCATTTAAATTTTTTCAGAACAGAGAATGATTTGTTAGAAAAAAAAAAATCTGTTCTTCTTGCATAGCCATTATCAAAATTGGGCAAACCAATACCAACCTGGAAGAAACATCTGCATTTCATTCTCAGACCATTGATATCAGCTTGCATCACCAACACATGAACAGTCTACATAGTGAAAACCCTTAGTGATTTTTCACTAAAACACAAATTATATTGACTTTCTATAAATTAGCACAGGGTAGGGTAGCAATAAACCTGTGGCAATTTCATTTGAAAATTTTTTAATGAAGTGGAATTATTTCCATTCATACTTTCCAGTTTGATCAAATTGTAGCCAAATTGCAAAAATGGAAACGTAACTGTCTACTGCAACACTGTGGAAAATATGCCAACCTCCCTTTCTGAACTGAAGAATCACTTCTTGTGCCTCGGGACTCAAGGCTCCTGCTTGCAGAATTGGAAACTTATCATGAAACTATGGGCAATCAGGAATCATGAATATGTCTTAGGAAGAAGAATTCTACTGAAAAATCAAAGGTGCATTTTGCCATATTATAGCATTCTTAAATAAATACTCTGGTCAGGAATGCAGAGAAACAGTTACCATCTGTTTTTAAGCCTGCCATTTGTCAAATGTTCAGTAAATGCATTCTATCACATTAACTTTTTTAGGAAGTCATCTGCTTTTGTTTATTTTAATTTATACAGCTGATAAAAGCAATCAATCTCATGTAGTCTGCTTAATATTATCTTTTTACTCCTCTTAAGGTTTAGCTAAAAAAAACAATTAAGAATCTCATTCCTTTTCGAACACAGATTTCTTCCACAAAGTATGAAAAGATTTCTTGCATTAAATACCTGTATTCTCATCTTCCTTTTACCTACATCACTCGATTTCTATACTGTTCACTAAACCTCACCTCAGCAAGTTTACATTTGCCCAAATCAGAATTTCACACAAAAAGGTTTATAGAAACACAACAGGTCTGTCACTCAACATTCAACACATATTAAATCATACATTTTCAAAGTTCACTGTTAACCTTTAAGCCAGAAAATAACTTCTCTCTTGAAACATGCAACATTCCTACTAGTACCTCAATGGGGCCAATTTGGGAGTCAATAGAGATCTGTAGTTCTCTGATCTCTTTTAAAGCTGACATGGCTATTCTGATGTCATCCAGGTCTGTAATGCTGCGATTTAATTTCTTGCCAGTTTCCTCTATAAAAGTCAAAATAGCTTCCATCTGTGTTCTGTACTTCTTATTGCAATGACACCCCAGCAATGTCATCCAAGCTTTAGTTTCTGATCTAAGTGCTAGCTTCAGATCAGCTAAAAATATTAAACAATAAATAGATATTAGACATTGCAGATATTTGTTAAGAAGCACTTTCAATCTTTTAATTACATTTGATCTCTTCAGTGGCAGTTCAGGTTTTTTGATCTAACCCTTCACATACAGAGATGATGAAATCACATGGGCACCTTGAAGGGGTTTATAAAATTGCTTGCAATTCACAATTGCTTTCCACCTGTTCTTCTCAGAATTTACCATCTTTTCTACTGGAAAGATCATCTAAAAACATTGAACAATTAATAGATATTAGAGATCATAGATTTTTTTTTTAGAATGTGCCTACTGGAAAGATGAAGTTGGTTTCCATACTCGTCATCTTGCTTATTTACTATTATACAAACTTCTGTCCTATACATCACTAATGAATTGATTTATAGTCTCATCTAAAATATTTTCAAAAATTAATCTTTAAAAAGATAACATGAGGAAATTCGGAGTCTAATTATGAAAGCTGAAGAAACAAAGTTTGATCATAGCATTGGTGGAATTCTTAGATAGAAAGGGGTTCAGCCGTCTCACTGCATGCAATTGGGCAAGGAGAAAAGTAATAAACTTATCATCTTACTCCCATGAAATATGTACCCCTGGGAATCAGTGACAGAAGGATGGGCAAACATCTACCATCCAACCCATAAGTGAGCAGGCATATCCAGGTGAGGCAATAAACTCCAGCTAAGCCTCACAGATATTCTTGTGTTAGTGTTTTCTTTGCAGCATTTACAGCCAGAACAGAAAACAGCCATTCTCTCTCTCTTTCTCCTTTCCATTTTAATCTAGCTCACCCATCCAAAACTGCCACATCTCTCCTTCCTACTGGAGTCAGAAAGTACATGTCTCTGGAGAGAAGCTGAACTCTACCAGTGTACAGTGCAATAGCTCCCACGCAGACGTATTCAGGCTCAGAATTAATTTTCAGGTCCAGGTCTTGGAAATGCAGAATTTCAGATTCAAACTCATAGAGCAATGGGTTTCCCACCATGAATTTATCAATGGTTTCCTCCTTGTCTCTCTGCCATATATGGTGGTAACAACTAAACCTCTCCAAAGCTGTAAGAACTTCCTGAAAGACATTTACAAGTTCAAAGGAAGATTCTCAGCATCATGTATATAGCATGCATATAATTTCTTAGCAGCTGCTCATTAGAGTACACTACAAACTCCATCATGGAGCAGGTTGAAGCTCCTCACGAAATAAATGGTTGCTGGCAAATTTATGCTAAAGGATAAGTTCCATTACTGATCACATTATGCCAGAAACCCTATGTTCATCACATCTAATTTGTCAGACTAGTTAAAACATTTGCCAATTAAGTGAATCTTCAGTCAATAAAATCATTGGAATTAGTGGGAAGTAAAGTTTAAAACTAAGATACAGTACACTTGTCCTTCCCTGCCATTTCTTCGGCTAGAAACTGAAACCTGAGCTCCAGGGCCCAACATAAAAATTCGTTCTGAAATAATTAAGCTATGAGACAATTTTTTTTAACATTAATTTCTACACTCAATTCAGGTCTCTTTGATTGGAATATCACTTAATGAGTGTGAAAGAGAATTATTCTTTTGGTTCTCAGGAGCTCAGAAAAATGTGAGAAAGTTAAAGTTAATTCATCACTGCATCTAATTAAACAAGTAAATGAGAGATGAGTGCTATGAGAAATAATCCACATCATGACTTATAATAAATATAGTACATGCAAGCATTTAATGCTGGCCAAATTATAAAAGTTTACAATATGACAAAATACCATGATAACTATCCACCATTATCAACTACTCAGCAGCAGCCTGGTAGTTATGCTTTAGTACCAGTGAAGTTACTATGCCTTGAGTCAAAGATTTTCACATGGCAAGACATAAAAGATTGGACCAGCCCCAGAAGAAACTGATGCACAGCTCCCTAAAGAAATACAGTTTACTAAGGGTGCATAGAATAAGAACCAGGCAAAGAAGTTATGAATATCCTTTAAGATATGCTTTAGAATAGAATAAGAACAAGGTAAAGAAGTTATGCATATCCTTTAAGATATCCTTTAAGATCCTAACCTACACAAGCAAATCCTATGCAGCATTTTACAAATGCCAATCTGATAGCAAATTTTCCTCTAAAAACCTTCATAACCTCTTTGTAATGTGGCAGAAATCATGCTGGCTTCATTAGCTACACACAACACAGCTACACTTTTTTATGATGTTTTAATTTATGCAATATTCAAACCCCCAAGTCTTGGAGCAGAGTACATTTGATGCAAGTTACACTTTTAAAGCATATTTGCAAATTTTCAGCCAAATGTTTTCCTTCCACCATCCAAAATTTTTTCATTTTTACATATAATCACAGCTTTAAATGCCTACCCTTATTACCCAAGTATATTAAAAGCTATACATTAATATCCCTCAGATAGTGATATCAAATTACCATCTCAATTGTCTTACCCCTTTTGTAGAATTTATGGCACTGCTGAGTAAAGATACTAATTTAATAATTTCTTTATTCTCTGAAACATTCTTGAAGTAGCTCTGGCTTTGCACTGCATCAGATGAACTGAGTGATGCTGCATCTGATACACTATCTATAAAATAAGATTCAAATACAGAAGCAGGCTTAGGACAGACATACTGGTTAGGAGAAGTAAATTCTTATAGACAAAACAGAATGACATTTTATCAATAAGCATGCACGTTAAACTTAGGTGTTCCTAAAGGCAACTAGAAGTTAAGGAATCCAACAAATTCATAAAAATCTCCATTTTAGTAAAATGGTTCCATTCAGGTACCCTGTCAAATTTGGAACAAGTTTCACACCAATCTTTCAAACAGATTATGCCTTCTTCTCTTCTCCCTCAAGGTTTATTCTGTATGCTTCACCTAAGTGATTTATTTATATTATCAGCATTTGCTTACTTATATATTAGCACTAAGCATTTTTATTTTCTGAAATAGCGCACAATTGACAATTTGAAATACAAATTAACATTAACTCTGAGAAGATGGCCATAACCAGTCCCCAAAAAAGACATCATCATTTTTTGTTTCATCTCTTGCAAGCAAAATTCTTAGTTTTGAAAGATTAATTTAACTTCTTAACCAGTTCAAGTATTACCATCTTACTTTTTAGGTACATAAGAGAGAGATAAGCTAAAAAGTCTCGAATGTAATTTTTTTAGTATCTCAAGTACAATGTAGAACAATTAACTTTGTTTGATTTTAAACTATTTCAGAAAAGAAAAACCCAATCAAAGATACCATCTTAAATTTTCTTGAACTAATGACTTCAACAACTTAATGTCTGGTCACAAAACAGAATAATGAAAAGCCTTTTAGAAATTCTAGTCTATTCCATCATTTATATACAATCCTCTCTACACCAATATTACAATTTACATCTATTTTTTTTATTCACTACCAGGTACTGTGAAAGTTCAACTTACCCTTCTTAAAGGGTAAGCACAAGTTCTAACATGCCATTTGAACATGCCAAATTACAAACCACACTGGATAACCATGAAAGATTATTCTGTAGCAAAATTACTATAATTGTAAACAATATATATATTATAACCCAAAGCATTAAAACTCTTCAAGAAGCCCAAAAAAATCCCCTTACTCAAATCCACAGAACAACAAATGGGAAACCTGGTTTCTAACCAGAGATTTCTTCTCTGAAGCAATTTAAAATCTATGAAGTTGTTTAAAATATACCAAGTCTACTGGTTTTGATGTATTTTGTAATTAATATCTTCCAATACTTTCTGTATAAATCACATTTACCTAACACTCAAATTTACTGATGTCAGAGTTTATCATTACCATGGCAGTTTTTCTTTCCAGTCTCTTTCATTCCATCATCAGAATCACTGTCTCTGCTCCCAGTGTGCAACAGAAAAACTTTTCTCTCTAACACTTTCTCCTGAAGAGAGAATAATATTTATTTTTCATTTGCAGCAGTTTTTCACCATTTGTTCTAAGTAAGGCTGTTAAAGACACCAACCTTGGATATTCTCTCCTTACTCCAATGTTGAACTCCTTTCATTACTTTCACAATACTATCTACAGCTTTATTAAGCGTCTGCTGTACCTCATCCAAAGAGGGTGTCATGATGATATTAGGTATAGATAGGTTAATATTAGTCCTAATTATAGGATAAGCACATTTTTTCTGCTTAGACATACTGTGATTTTCTAAATAAAAGACAAAAACAGAAGACAAAAACAAAAGGCTGTTCATATTTTTTTCAAGACATCAAACTAGGCATTGTTTGATATAAACCAACAAACATATCTCCTAATGTAGAGTATTGATGTAATTTCTGAAGGGAAAAAGAATTCCTGAACTACGGCTAACCCCTACAGCAGCAAAAAAGAAAACTAAGTGCAAAGCTATTTTTTCCATGAAGCTTCTCTTCAACTTTCTCTGTGCAGCTAAACTCTGTTTAGCACAAATTTTGTTATCTGGCTGGTACTCCCAGTCAGCATATTAAATTGGGCACAGAACCTCCTAAGAGTCTCATAGTATTGTATGCCTTATAAACTACAGAGACCAAAGACAACTGACCTTATTTTTGTTTCTTAAAGGCATGCAACAATAAAACGCTTCAAAACTATGCTCCATCACCATGTATGGAAATGTCTGAAGGCAATTAGTAAGAGAAAAAAGACACCTCTATTTTTTTTTTCATACGGTTTTATGTAAAAGGCAAGGGCAAAGAGATCTTGTCAAGTTATCAAGGTCTTGATAACTAAACAAGTTAGTTTCTAACATAACTTGTTAAAACTTTTAACAAGTTATCAAGGTCTTGTAGAAACTTATCTATCAAGTCTTGTTCCAACTATAATATTGGCTTCAGAACAGTACAGAGAGTCTTTAGAGAAAGAGCATTGTACTGTCACAAGAAAAAAAAAAAACATTGGAAATAGACAATGCTATTGATTACAACTTAACAGGACAGCTTAATCAAAATCCCTTTGTTTTCCCCTCTTTTGCATTTGTGAGTCTTATTTATACAGTTATGAGATATTACACTGACATTTTTCTTTATATAGCCTAGAGACCAATGTACTACAATGTAGCCACCTAAGAAGTTGATGGTGGAAGATGCATGAATGCGCTTGCGGATAGTCTCCAGAGTGTGTCGAGTGACTTTCAAGAGGGTATCAATGTTACGATCATTGAAGTAAGAAAGCAGTTCATTGGCTTCTTCCTCTAACTTTTCTAAATCCATTCTCTTGCTCTTTGCTGTAGAAGGTAGGCCAGCCCACATTTGACCGGAATTTTGTGAGGAAGTCAAGCTTTTTGATCTTCTTTCCTCTTCTTTTGCTAAAACATCATAAATCCAGTTAGTTAAATATACATAAGTAACTTGAAAATATCATCATGCAACACTTCCACAGGTGTCTGAAATAATTTTAAGGAAGGGCAGAATTACTCAATTGTAATCTGCACCCCAGTGTAACAGGCTTATTCCTATCTGCCTTCTTATTCAGTACAAACTGGCATGATTATCATCAAAATTTAAATATTATTTCTTATTTTCTTTCTCTGGGAAGTCCAGCAATTAACCAAGGCTACTAAGTACTTCTATGGCATGAAACTTTCAACATCCAAGTTAGATAAATAATACTGACCTATTTTGTACATGATAAATGATTGTTACATTATTCATTATCCAGGCAAATCCAAAGTCTTTAGACTTCAGATGCTAATCAGTACTTCGGTCACCTAAGCTATAATGTCCCCGAACACAAATTATCAGCACGAAAAAGAAAGAAACACCAAGGAATACAATACAATCTTCTTACCTGTATTCTTGGCCCTTTTTTCACCACTGGGTACAATTGACTTCTCATCTTCTTTACTGAATTGTTCCTTGGTGTCAAGTAACATGTTTATCAGATCATTAACAGCGGCCTCCACCAGTGAGCTTTGTAAGTGTAAAGTCCTAGATCCTTTTATGCAGAGCTGCTGTTATCAAACCAAAACAATATGCTCTTATTGTCACAATTCTCATGTCAATTTCAAAGTCATAGCAGCCTTTATTAACACAAATGTCAAAGCCTAAGATTTGTGAAAAATAAGATCTATATACAATATTAATTTAAAATTGGTTTGTTCCAAAATACAAGATAAACAATAGATCAACAAGGCATCATGAATTACTTTCAGCATGGTTTTGGCTTCTTTCTCAAATCACATGATTCATTAGTAATACCATGAATCAATGTTTATAATGCCTAGTTTCACTAAGAGTCCCAAAAGCAAGGGCTTCTTCATTTTCTTAACTTTCCAATGTAGAGATGGGAGAGTCAACACTTCTTTTAATCATTGCTGGTTTACATTAATTGACTGTGCCATAATGAGTATTAGCCAACCACATATCCCATTTACAGTTAAAAAGAAGATAAAAGCTATAAAAGATATATTTATTATTAAAATAAACACTAAAATTATAAACTGGAGAGAGAAGAAATCAAAGAATGAGATTAAATAAAATTCAGAAATTTGTTACAGTACTGTGCATCTTTTTTCTCCAATACTTATAATAAAATCAATCAAGTATGCCTCAGCTAACTATAATTTTTATCTGCAATTGCTTTTTATTTTTTTACTTCTTTGGTATTTTATATTTCACTCAGCTTAAACAAACATGACTACCTTTGTTCAATTAAAAATCAATAACTGGAAATATTCAGCCATTTTCAAATTTTAAGATAATCTTTGGCCTTCCTAATGGTTTTGTTGAGTTGAGATAAAAGGCAGATGTGACTTGCAATATCACAGCAACACTAAACAAAGTACTCTGGGATTTTCCCACTGGGTATTTATTTTTGTTGCAGAAATTTCTTTAGAAATTTAAAGACACTTGCTAGGTGACAGAAGTTATTTCTAGTCTCCTCTAAATAAAAATTACAATAAGCTTACAAACTGTTACTATTTTTATTGTACCTATAACTGCGGTTCTTATACCACTTACTTTGCTATCTCAACTCAAATGGCCATTGTAATTATTATGTAGCAGTTTAACTTTTCAAGTTACCTTACTGGGCAGAGCTGTTTTTGTGCTCACTCACATATTTTTGCCTTCGTGAATATACATTTTAGTACCTGTCCTATCAGGAAGGTAGCAGCAGGATCAAGAAAAACAACTATGGATTGTGAGGCTTACAAACTGCTACTCATTCCATATATTATTTTAAATTTTACTCTATATTTAACAACACAGTGAGTTGTTACAATAGCCAAAATAGAAAAGGTCAAAGAGTTAAAAACACTAAGGTAATCAAGAAAATTAATTTGTAATAGTTATTCCTACAAGAGAAAAGGAATGGGGATTATCTATTTGATTTTCTACAGTCTTTATCAAACCAAATTTTATTTCAGGAGAAAACACGTTAGACATTACAACCTAAAATGCAATACCTTACTATTGCCTCACAAAATTATTCTGACATAATTATGACTTTAATCAGCTTTCTAACCAGCTGATCTAATAAGTTTTCATGCTTATAGTTAATTACCCTCAACATAAAATCTTTTGATGTGGTGAAGGAAGGGTGTTTTCTCAGACTACCATCATCCAAGTACTCCTGCATATATTTTTCACATCCCATTACCAACTCAGGAGAGTTTGAGATACTCATTACACGATACTTTCCATAGTATTTACTCTCCTCAGACAATTGCTGGAGAATTCCCTTATTTAAACAGGAATAATGAAAAAATATATACTATCACAGAGGCAAACTTTTTGAGTGCAAGAAAGCACAAAAGAAATATCATACACTATCTGGCTTGATATTAATAATGAATAGAAAATAATAGCTCAGCTCAGCTCTCTTTACATTTGGCATTTCTGTTCCTTTTTATGATCCTAGCCAAGCAAGTGGGGATTTCCATTGTATCCCATGAATGCTTCATTAATTCTGCATTCAGAATTTTTTATCTCATAGAAAAGAAAAATATCTAAACTCAAAGTCATCTATCTGTTCTTCATGAAACTTTTATCTACTAACCTTAGTCTTTTGAAGAAATTCCTCACAGCTCTGTGGTTCATCTTCTGGCAACATACAGAGTGTCACTTCACTCATTTCTTGAAGGACAGCATCAATACGAAATTCAACCAAGTCATTCACTCGATCAAGCAATAACTCCAGCCCAGCTTTTGAAGAAAACAGAAGATTCAAGACAAGCTTAAAAGTTTGAATTAATAGCCTTTGCAAAGTCCCCCAGTGTTCTTTTACCCCAACAAATTATCATTATCAACTGTATATGAATTCTGCACCTTAACCAATTTACTTCAAACATCTAAACTTTTATGGCAAGCTTCACCACAAGAATCATAATTATCTTTTTGCATAACAAATACTTACTTAGCATATGCTATCTACATGTTAAAAGATAAGTATAGTATTATAGAATATAAACTATTATACAAATGAATATTGTATAGCTTTTTATAAAAAATAGTATATATTATAAATATATATAAGATTAACTTAAAGGATATGTATTTCAAACATGAAGACATTAACATTTAATTGAGGGCCAACAACATTTCATCTTCTCCTATACCTTGAACTTGTTACAACTTGGAGAATCTACTAGCAACAGTAAATTTCAGCAAATAAAAACTCTATGATTCAAACAAATGTTAGAGGCCAAACAATAGTTAACAGAAAACAATCACTAGAATTTTAAACTTTAATAGCAATCTGCTCTCAATGCTGAAGCTGAAATAGCAGAAAATTACTTTTATTATTCAAAATTTAGTTAAGTATAATATCAGACTGGCATCCAAAATGCACTTTAATCTGCCATTTCAACTGAAGAAAAAATCCACTATAACTACCTATGCAATTTCAAGAAGCAAAATCTGTTTGTTGTATTAATTAAGCTGAAGAAAAAGGAATTTAGTATCTTCAGAAAAAAAACACATCTCAGTGCAACGTTGTGATAACCTTTTGAAAACACTACAAGCTCATCTGTTTTCTAAAGCTGTTGTCCAAAATATGTGTACATTAGTTTTAAAGAGACTGATATTTAAAAAAAATATTAATATGAAATGCTATTGAGCAATGACAGTGCCAACTGAGTCAGTGTTTTATTCCTTGAGAAGTTGTTTTTTGTACATTATAGAAACAAAAAAGCAGGACTAGGAAAAGTATGGAACCTAGGAACTCTTTTAAAAAGTAGCTATCATTCTTTAAATTCAGAATACACTGGGCATTTCGCACTATATTTTATGTTTGGTGTAATCCCAAGCGCCTAACATACAGTAGTAAAAATTTGATGAACATAAAAGACAAAAAGAAGGTGGTGTTACAAAACAAATATTTCATAGAATACAGGACAGGTGAAAATTCTGATAACTTTTATATATAAACCAATTAAGTGGTTTATATACTTACATTACAATTCGCATATGTATAGAACAAATAACTATAAATTAATGGAAGGAGGCAAGTAACCTACCTAGCTTAGAAAAAACTGTATTAATGTATTTCTCAATATTTAGGGATGTCCAGTTCAGCAACATTAGACCTGGCTGGATAGCATTATCTACATCTACTAATTGAGGAGCTATGAGTTTTTCAAAAGGGTGTTGTATTTTCAGTTTAATTCTTTTGTATTCTGCCAACATCACCTGAAATAATGAAAATATTAGTTAATACACACTCATTGAACCTCTTCATGTGCACACACTTATTACCTAAACTAAGAAAATTAATCTGTATGCATATTATTGAATTTTTTAAGAAGTTATAATTAATTGCTTGGGAAAGGTTTTCATTATTTTTGGCAGAAGTTCACTATTTGTTGCTCTTTATATCTCTATATTTTTTTGTTGCTCTATGTGAAGCACTGCTTCACACAGAAATCAATCTTTGATTGCACTGGTGCTGTGATGGTGTTAATTTCTTTTTCAATGTCTCTCATGATGCCATGTTTTAGATTTGTGACCACAACTGTGTTACTAACACACTGATATTTTGGGTATTGCTAAACAGTGCTCGTACAGCATTGAGTCCTTTTCTGCTTCTCACACCACTCTGCTGGTGACTGGGGACACAAAAGATGCTGGGAAGGAATGTAGCCAGGAGCCCAACTGATTATTTGGATCCCATACCTACGACATCATGCTTAAAAAATGAAAGTTGGGAGAAGAAGGAGGGAGGGGGACACTCAGAGTTATGGTGTTTGTCTTTCCAAGTAGCTGTGATACTGCCTAGTTTTACCAGATTAATTCCTTCTTTTTTTTCCCTTGTGCGTGCACCTCTTGCCTTCCCTATTAAAATGCCTTTATCTCAACTCACATGTTTTATATTTTAACCGTCAGATTATCTCCCCCATCCCAAGGAGGGAAGTAAGGGAGCAACGGTGGGACATTTGGTTGCCTACTGGATTTAAACCACATAACAGAAAAATCTTGTGAATTTCAGTTGGTAAATGAGTGCTACAGAAGACAAAAAGCTCAAGGAGAAAACTACATCTAGGTGAATTTTCCAGCAATTCTAATAAGATCAGCCTTACCAGAACTATATTATACTATTTTCTTTCTAATGCCTCTTTAACTCGCTGATCTAGTTTCACATGTTCATCAATAACATTATGACTTAAAGTCATAAAGATTCTATGATTTATGGGTTTTTTCATTTCAAAGTAGTCCTTTAAAGCTATAGGTTTCTGAACATCTATTTTTGAATTCCCATCTTGAGTCATTGGGAATCTTGTCTGTTCATAGGCAGATAAAATGATCTAAAAGACTTAAAAGCCAAGAGAAAGAAAAGTTTAATCTCTTTTTAAACTGCTCCACAGACACAGGTGTAAAACACCAGTGTCAGAAAAAAAAAGCTGCTACTTGCTGCATGCTTTATACTTTTTAAAAGCAGACCACCTGTTCCTCCCTTCCAGGTATCCTGTCAAAACAAATGCTGCCCAATGTTGACTTCATTATTGAATGAGAGATGAATTGCTTATCATTTAGAAAGCAAGCAACAACACAGGACATTTTGTAATCCTTTCCTCCCCATTCTCATCTCTGTTCCAGACCCTGCAGAGCTTCCCCAAACACATGCATCTGCAAAGTAACTTCCAAGAAAATATAAAGCCAAGAAAATGTTTTAATGTCATACAAATAAGAAAACAGATTTGCAAATGTTTTCTTGGTACATAATCATTGATTTTCATTTATCCTCTTCCATATGTACAGAACCCAAGCATCTTAATGTACAGTACATATACATAGAATAACTAATATAAACCCACGTGCAAATTGTTGACAATCTTCTTGTACCAGTCTCTCTGCTGTTGAATAACACTTGCAAATGGTGGAATTTCAAGGCACATATGAGCCATGCAATCTATTTCTCTGATTAAAATTAATATTTGAGGATCAAAATTTACAAATAATTCTCCCGTTTCTGGAGCTTTTACCAAGAGAGTTGCTTGAAGTCCTCTTTTAGTTAACTCAATCTGCAGGAAAGAAAATCATTCCAATCAGACAAGCCACTACATAAATAAAATAAAAACCACTACCAAAATAAAATATTTTGGTTTGCATATAAATATCACTTTTGCAGATAGTTAAATCAGGTACTGCTGACAAAGATTGATACGTTATATGAATCCAAACCCAAAATTTATTAACACAATGTGTATGAACCCAAATGCTTAATAATTAAACTGCTATTTATCTAACAGATATTCTTCTGTTGAGTCTTGGATGTTATAAACTGCATTTCACAGTCCAAAATCAAATCAGAGCCATAGATTTCCTTGTTTCAACCAAGAAAATCTTAACACTCATGTCCTTAGAACTTAATGCATATTCTGCAATAAGGCTTCAGAATTATTCTTGGATAACCTCTTCACATATCTTTTGAATATACTTATCCCCATTTCTCCTTTCACTTGTTTTCCAGTAACTAATAGATATACCAATCTTAATGATACTGGCAATTATATCCAACATTTGGGCAAATCTGCTAAAATACTAAAATTAATGTTTATTATAGATTTATTTTAATTGTAAAAGCAAAGCATAATCGCACAATTGGTTTACCTGCCTTATTTAAATATTAGAGGACCATTGGTTCTCTATGTGATTAGAAAGGACAGCATTCCTTAGCGCACCACACACTGAAAATTTGGCTGACACCAAAAAACAATCCTGCCTTAGGCAGGCAAAGTTTTCCTACATTAAAAACTTTGCTGCTATTCTTATTTTCCAGTTGTCTTTGGTTGGTGTAACTTCATTGTTCTTTATTTGCTCCTCAAATTTCATGTATCACATTATATTGAGATGGATCTTATTTTCTAGGCCATAGTTTCAGAACTCATTGATATCTTTCAGTGCACTTTTTACTTTTTCTATGGAACACAGAAAATTTGCACCACCTTTCAATGTCTAAAATATAGTGGAGGTTACTGCTTGCTTCAGCAATATCATGTACTATCAAGACATTTTTCACAGCATTTTTCAAGAAATAATCTAATCAATTTTTGTCGATGAAGATGTCATGCTCTATCCACTATCATCAGTCTTCAAAAAAAAAAAGCTGTTTTTTTCTGTAAAGTTCAACAGAAAATCTTACTTTGCTTATTTTTGAGCTTCATACTCATTATTCCCACTCTCAAGTCTTCCTCCCCTGCCTATGTCTTCTTCTCATGTAGTTTTCATTATTAAGGTAACAGAAAATGTCAATGGAAATAAGGGGTGCATTGAAGGCACAAATCTTACATTGCCAGATAATTATGATAACTTAAAAAAAAAAAAAAAATTTATTATTTTCAAAAAAAAAAAAAAAAACATCATTTGCAAAAGAAAAAAAAAAAAAAA